TGGTCTAAGATTGCTCACATCCCAAATATTGACATCTGGTGACAGACGGGAGTCAGCTGATGTTCTGGTATCTTTTCTAACTTCTTCTGATTTCCATTTTACATTTCAATAAATCCAAATTAATATCCAAACTATGTTTGTCTCTCAAACCAGAACCATTCATTCAGTTAACCGAATCGCCCTTTCTATGTCGGTGGCTCAAGATTCGTTCCTCGTTGAAACTTTATGCTTCATCTCTACAATTGTTTACGCTCGCACAACAGCGTGGTGGTGTATGTGTATCAAATGGTTGCAGCCTGCACTTCTTTTACCTTTTAACTTTGCTCTTTTCCTTGTATATATCTTCTTTGTTTCATTTCAAGAGGGGTAAGGTTTATGTCCCCCCTTCTTTTTCATGTAATTTTTCTCTTCTTTCTTTATTTTTATTGTATGAGGGGTAAGGTTTATGTCCCCCCTGACTAGGTGTACATTATTTTTCATTATCAATAAAATTTCCCTCGTACCGCCGAGGTTTTATCAAAAGAATCAAAAAGTTGTATAAATTATAGGGTGAAATATGACTTTATCTGTTAGGCTTTGAAGATTACAATCTTAAAATGAACCAAATCCAAGCCTAACCGAATAGACCAAATTGAAAATAAACTGAAATGAACAAAAAATTGAAAAAATCCGAGCCGAATCGAACAGAAATTTCAGTTTGGTTTTTAGTTTCGATGAAAAAATCAAACCGAATAGAACTGAACCCACTCTTATACTAAGTGATACAAGAAACCTCTCCTTAGTAATACTCAAGTTTTAATTTTCAATTATTTCCTGGTGACTTTTATCTTAAAGGGAAAATACACACATGTACATTATACAAACGTGTTTACATGTTTTTGTTGCTCTATGTTTCTGATACCTTCTTCTCTGTATAAGACGATTTATGTTATATACTTCTAATTTAAAAAACTCAAGTGCAAGAAGACGGTCGTGCAAACCATGTTAGATGGCCTAAACCACATTTGCTTAGCTACAAAAGGGAAGGTTAAAGAATTTATGGCCTACGTGTATCGTTTTCCACAAGCATGCAGTAGGTTAATTGTTTGAAGAGCATATGTTGCTTTTGAATAGAACATTAACTGTTAACACCTAACTGTACATAACGGATTCATGGAGAAGATAACTGAGCCTTCCAGGTTCCATGAAGGAAATTGAAACAACTCTCCCAATATACACGTGTGAATTAAATGTAACTTAGCATCCACAACAAGTGGTCCAGTGGTAAGGACGAGGATTGCGGCTCTCTAATAAACAAAAAAAAATGTGGAAGGTCTCATATTCGATAACTCGATACTCCGAGCTAATGAGTCTACTTGACTGTGATTACAGACAAGATGAAATTTTTCATAACCTCTCCGGACTCAGAATTGGTGGATAACAGTAGCTTGCCATCAAGCCTCACTGAATTAAATGTAACGGCTATAAGTTGTTACCATTAAGGCCTCACTGAATTTTGGTGTGTATACATTCACTTATTAATTTATGCAGCGCATGGGAACTAGGTTACAATTATTAACCTCCTTCATTTGGCTGTTACCCTTTTTCTCTCTTTTTTTCTCTTTTTATGGGAGGAGAAGGGGTGTTCGAACTTAGACGTCATTCCAACGTTAGGAATAAAAATGCCACTAGCTTGTTTGTTCATTGTTTTCTTTAGAAAAAAACGATGTTTCATTGTTTCTTACTTCCAAAAAGACACTTTACAACAAAACAAAAACAATAGGATAGGTCTTTAAAAGAAGAATGACTTACGTGAAATGAGCTTGTCGTCATTGTAATTTTTCAACCTAATAATACAACGTCGTAAGTAAATTTTTTTTCATAATATTATTACTAGATTGAAAGTGTGACGATATGTTCCTAATTTTCCATGTAATTTCCTTCCCGAGTAGATAAATTGACGATTATGCCCTTGTTGGCAAAGTGGAATCTGACGTGGACGTTGTTGTTCGGCTTTTAAATTATTTTTCCTATTATCGTAATTAAGTAGTACTCGTTTCTACGAACACGTGAACACGAGTTAGATCTGAACCGAATTTGTAATGGAGAATTTACACGTTTAGTTAAAGTAAGATAACAATAGGTAAAATTATACTTGTGTGCGAATTATTTAAAGTTGGAAACACTGTTTTGACAGGGTGAGCTAGATTTTTGTGTAATTTTAAATTGTACAAAATTTTGACCATTTCCCATTTTCAAACCGGTCCCTCACTTACCACACCAACCAACAACCTCTATCCCTATTTTCTATCATCCAATCAGAAACTCTCTCTTGTACAATCACAAACTCTCTCTCTCTTCTTCTTCTCTCTCTCACCGTACCTCTTTTTAATCATATTATTACTAGCCCATTATGAGACTTAACACCAGTTTGGTACCGCTTAACTTTAAAAAAAAACAGGTATGAAAAAAAGCACCCTGTTTTTTTGTGTTTGGTAAACTTTCAAAATCAGCTTTTTTTTCATAGTTTTGGATGAAAAAAAAAAGTAAAAAGGCAAAGCAGCAAAACCTAGCTTTGGAAAACCAACTTTTTATCACAATACACGAGTGAACAGTGCCATTACATGAATTTTTCGAAATGGCAACCTTACCCTTTCTTCTCTTTCTCCTTCATCCCAATTCTAGACTTCATCCCCTTTCTCCAGTCGTTCTCTGGCACCGTACTACCTAGATTCACCATCTATCCCCTCTATCTCTTCTTACTCCCCAGATTCGCCACCCTATCTCTCTCCTAATCCCCACCAAATACACCCATCGCCACCTCGCAGACCATGATCCTAACCCATTCCCTTCTAGATGATAACCCAGATCCCACCCATTTATACACCACCGCACCTTCCAAAACATGTAATGTCCTGGAAATCGAAATGCAAGAAATAGAAATGAGAGTGAGGACGAAGGTTCCAGATCGTCGGAATTGAAAGAGAAATGTGAAAGGGATGAAGGTGGGTGAGGACTTTGAAATTTCAGGAGGGATCATTGATGAAAAATGGAAGAAAAGCTAGAAACATTTTGGCATAACGAAATATAAAGAAAGAATAATGAAAAAGCTAGAAAGAAAGGGAACAAAGAGGAAAGGAAAAAGGAAACAATCATGAACTTTTTGGTAGAAAGAAAAAGAAAGGAAGAAAAGCCCATAAGTTTTGTTTTTTTTTTTTTGTCATTTTACACAATCACAATTGTTTTATATAAATATTTACCAAATACTATAACACTGTTTATTATTATTATTATTATTATTATTATTATTATTATTATTAAAAGCACTTTTACAATTATTGTTACCAAACACTTTACTTCTTTATTGTACAACTACTTATTCTTACAACACAGTAGAAACAATTTTTTTTTTCAAAGCACATCAATATCAAACTAACCCTTAGCCTACATCTTCCTCCTTAGTGCAAAGAATATTGTTTGTTAAAAAAAAAAAAAAAAAAAAAGAAGTCAATTTTCAATTTAAAAAAAACATTTTTTTTTTTTTTTTCTTTCTCTTTATGACAAAAAAAAGTGAAAAAAAAGATAGAAAATGTTATCCAAAAAGAGAAACTGGACCTGCAAACTCATAATCTAGTGGGCTGAACTAAGTATCAGCCCATTAATCTAGTTAATAGGCGTGGTTAGGTCCAAACCATATCTGGCCCCAATACACATTTCTAGTGGCAAGAAACAACAAACACTAGCTAAGTCATGAATGTTAACTTATTGTACGGAGGCTAAAAGACAGCAACGCTACGTCAGCTGTTAGGTCACTTGATGCTCGTGTGACAGGCACATGACCACTTTTTTAAACAACACTCTTATACCCTTTGTTTTCTTGCATGTGATATAAAGTTAATCTAAAAGCGTGGTTAGTACTGTATTAAATTACTAACTCGTGTTAGCGTTTGAGTGCTTATATATATATATATATATATACAACATATTGGCCCATATAATTAATGGCAGGGTAGCTATTATATTTGGATCATTGCATTGCATGTGATATAGGAGATGGGCTGAGGTCAAATTATCCGGGCCCTGATGGGTTTGTATTATGGAGTAAGTCACATGGCAATCTAACGACAAGCCGGATCAATTTTTTAATATTTTCACGCCGACTATGCACGTGGCATACATTACAGCGTACTAATCAAAACTTACTAATTTAAAATCCTGTCCGAGCCCTTGGATAAGATATTAGATTGGGCCTCCAAGTTGGTAGTCTGGAATCGGGCGATTTTGGGTAAACAAAAATAGACTTGGCCTCATAGCTGGCCTTTTTTTTTTATGGTCCAAACAATTTTTCATCGAAGCAATGAATTGAAGCAAGAGAGTTTAGCTTTTGTTATGGTTTATTCTTTACTTCAGCAGTTACGGGAATCATCTTGTAATGTGTGCATGCACAAAAGAAATCTTATTCTTTTTTAGTTGTATACACATTTTATGATCTTTTTCATATGCTTTAAGTTTGAATCATTCTCAAGACGCTGTCGTAGCCACATTGACTATAATGAATATGCTCCCCCCTAAAGCATCCGAGGTTTAAACTCACTCACTACATGTTTAGATTAGTTTAAAATATAACATTGCTTGCATAAATAAAATTAAAAAATTAAAAAAAAAGATACGTATCTATTCAAGTTATAGAGACATACCTTGCTTTGCTCGGGATCAATGAATTCTCAGTCTACGATTACTTAATTTTCACATTCGATGCCAAGTTATCAACCAAGGTTCTAAGGTGGGGAGAATGGTTGTAGCATTGGGATCAAGCTAACAAACGAAGCAAGTTAAGAATAAAGCTTTCTTGTTTTGTTTATTTACCTTTTGATTTTCAATCTTGTTCATCTAAGAATCGCATCATTAACAAGTTAGAATCATATACTTTGCTTAAGTATTAGTTAGAGATATGGATGCAACGCCGTATAAATATTAGCAGCGAGGATCCATCTTAGATCACCAAATTCTTACTTCCTACAATCAACTCTATACTTTCAGCTTTGCTTTAATCTTATCCTCAATCAAGACGATGGCGGAAGGGGTCCTATTCAACATTGCCGAAGGAATCATTGGAAGCTTGCAGAAACTTGCTCGTGAAGAGTTCGGATTGCTTTACGGTGTCAAAGATGAGCTCAAAAAGCTTGAGAAGACAGTTAAGAAAATCAAAACTGTTCTTCTTGATGCAGAAGAAAAGAAGGCAAATCATGAAGTCACAGAGTGGCTGAAAAGCCTAGAAGATGCAGTTTATGATGTTGATGACTTGCTAGATGAATTCTACACTGAAGCTCGGTGGAGGCAAATGGTAATTGGGAATAAAATTTCAAAGCAGGTACGCCTCTTTTTCTCAAGCTCAAACCAACTTGTTTTTCGGCTAAAGATCGGTCATAAGATAAAAGAAATTAGGGAGACACTTAATGTGATTGAGACCGACAGAGGGTTTCACTTAGATGAGCGTCTCCAAGAGGCACGAGTTCTAACTAGAGAGAGGGAAACTCACTCTTTTGTCCGTAAGGAAGAAATCATAGGGAGGGATAAAGAGAAAAGGGAAATTGTAGGACTTCTGTTAGATCCTATTCCTGAAGAGAATGTGTCAATCATTTCCTTAGTTGGGATTGGAGGTTTGGGAAAAACTGCACTAGCCCAACTTGTTTTTAACGACGAGACAGTCAAAAAGCATTTTGAGTTGAAAATATGGATATGCGTCTCTGATAAATTTGAGTTGAATGTGCTTGTTAAAAAAATCATTGAGTCCGCACCTAGTAGGACACAGGGAAACCTTGAGTTGGATCAATTGCAAAATGACCTCCGAAAACTAATAGATGGAAAGAGATACCTCCTTGTGTTAGATGATGTATGGAATGAAAATAGGGGAAAATGGCTTAGTTTGAAAAGCTTGTTGATGGGTGGTGCAAGAGGTAGTAGAATATTGATAACTACTCGTAGTAAAGTTGTTGCAACTATCTCAGACACAAATAAACAATATATCCTGGGGGGCTTGGAAAAAAAAGAATCTTGGTCTTTATTTAAGCAAATGGCCTTCAAAACAGAACAAGAGTCAGAAAATCCAAGTATTAAGGAAATTGGGGAAGAGATTGTTGGAAAATGTAAGGGCATCCCACTTGCTATAAGGACGACAGGGCGAATGCTCTTCTCTAAGAATCAGGAAAATGAATGGTTGGCTTTCAAGAATAACGACCTTTCAAAAGTAAATCAGGAAGCAATTGATATTTTACCAACACTTAAGCTAAGCTATGATATCCTCCCATCACATTTGAAACATTGTTTTGCATATTGTAGCTTGTTCCCTAAAGATTATGAGATTGATATAAAGACATTGGTTAACCTCTGGGTGGCACAAGGGTTTGTTAAGTCTTTAGATCAAAAGCAAGAGTTTGGAAGATGTTGGTTATGAATATTTTTTGGAGTTGGCATGGAGATCTTTTTTCCAAGAGGTAACATATGATGAGTTTGGTATGATAAGTAGTTGTAAAATGCACGACCTCATGCACGACCTTGCAAAATCAATGTCTGGGATGGAAATCACCATAGTAGTTGAAAAGGAGGATAATTTTTCTGAAAACCTTCGTCATGTGTCTTTTGATTATTCAATTGGTCTGTGGTTAATTGAAAAAATTCCTACATCTTTGCTAAGGGCACATAAGTTGAGGACATTTTTATATGTTGACGAATATCTGCTCTCTTTTCATGATGATGGGTCTATTAAGTCATTTTGCAATGCAATTGCTTCAAATTTCAAGTCATTGCGCATGTTGAGTCTGTATGCATTGGATATCAGAGCATTACCAAATTCCGTACGTAAATTGAGACATTTAAGATATCTCGATCTTAGAAGAAATCCCATTGAGAGGCTCCCAAAGTGGATAGTTAGACTTCAGAATCTGCAAACCCTAAATCTGTCAGATTGTGATATGCTTGTGGAACTGCCAAGAGACATTAATAAATTGTTCAATTTAAGGCATCTCATGGTAGATGGGTGTATCAGATTGAATCATATGCCGGATGGATTGAGAGAATTGACTTGTCTTCGGACATTGGATAGATTTGTTTTGAGTGAAGACAGTTGCATTACAGGGGGCGGTGCTGGGCTTGGCGTGTTGAACAGGCTTAACAACTTGACGGGAAGTATGAGCATTGAAAATTTGTGGAATGGGAAAAATATGGTGTCAGAAGCAATCTCTGCAAATATGAAGGAAAAACAGAGTCTTACTTCGTTGTCTTTGGGGTGGAAGGAAAATATTACAAGTGATGTCAATGAGGCTGAAAATGGTGAAATGTTATTGGAAGCACTGCAACCTCATTCAAATTTGAAAGAGTTATCGGTGTATTTTTTTGACGGTGTGAAGTTTGCAGGTTGGCTTTCTTCTCTCACAAATATTGTTAATCTCAGTTTGAAGGAATGCAAAACATGTCAGTATCTCCCGTCGTTTGATCATTTCCCTCGTCTTAAGGTTCTTAGACTTGATGGGCTTAATGCTTTGGAGTACATTTCAGATGCTTCATCGTCAGCGTCGCGAATTCCATTCTTCCCCTCCTTAAAGAAAATTTACCTATGGAATTGTCCTAATCTTAAGGGATGGTGGAAGCAGAGTGCTCTAATTGGCTCCCCAACGACAGAGTATGAGCATCAGCATATACAGCAGTCATCGCTTTCATTTCCCTGTCTTTCTCTATTAGATGTCTGGAATTGTCCTAACCTAACTTCCATGCCACTCTATCCACATCTTGAAGACGAGGCTGTCCTTGGATAATGCCAGCTTGAAGCCATTAGAAGAGACGATGATGATCGGTGATGAAGACATTTTGGCACCAGCAGAAACAACATCATCTGCTTGTACATGTTGTTCCCTCTTCTCTATTTTCTCTCCTTTAGTCTCTGGAGCATCTGGCCCGCATGTCTCCGCTTCCTCCTCTTCTCCTCTTTCCAAATTAATAAGTTTGGAAATTATAGGCATTGAGGATAGAGAATGTGTTCCAGAGAGGTGGCTGCGCAATCTCACTTCTCTCAAGAATTTGAGTTTGTCCCGATGTCGTAGACTGAGGTGTATACCTTTGTCCCCGTCTCCGAGCGTCCAACATCTCACCACACTTGATTTTCTAGAGATAGTGCGCTGCAACGAGCTGGATCTGTGGAAGGAGGATGAGAGTTTCTCGCAGTGGAAATCCCTAAGGAGCCTTCGTACCCTCCGTATTTCTGAATGTGATCGTTTGATAAAGTTGCCGCAAGGAATAGGTAACCTCACATCCCTTTCCAAACTAGTCATTGGAAATTGCCGTAATTTAGCATCACTGCCAGTAGGGATGTGTCGCCTCACCACACTTGATTGTCTAGAGATAATGTGCTGCAACGAGCTGGATTTGTGGAAGGAGGATGAGAGTTTCTCGCAGTGGAAATCCCTAAGGAGCCTTCGTACCCTCCGTATTTCTGAATGTGATCGTTTGATAAAGTTGCCGGAAGGAATAGGTAACCTCACATCCCTTTCCGAACTAGTCATTGAATATTGCCCTAATTTAGCATCACTGCCAGAAGGGATGTGTCGCCTCACCTCTTTAGAGACACTGCGGATTTACAACTGCTCCAGCGTATTAAGGCAAAGATGCGAGAAAGAAAGAGGTGAGGACTGGTCTAAGATTGCTCACATCCCAAATATTAACTTCTCTGACATCTGGTGACAGACGGGAGTCAGCTAATGTTCTGGTATCTTTTCTAACTTCTTCTGATTTCCATTTTACATTTCAATAAATCCAAATTAATATCCAAACTATGTTTGTCTCTCAAACCAGAACCATTCATTCAGTTAACCGAAGCGCCCTTTCTATGTCGGTGGCTCAAGATTCGTTCCTCGTTGAAACTTTATGCTTCATCTCTACAATTGTTTACGCTCGCACAACAGCGTGGTGGTGTATGTGTATCAAATGGTTGCAGCCTGCACTTCTTTTACCTTTTAACTTTGCTCTTTTCCTTGTATATATCTTCTTTGTTTCATTTCAAGAGGGGTAAGGTTTATGTCCCCCCTTCTTTTTCATGTAATTTTTCTCTTCTTTTTTTATTTTTATTGTATGAGGGGTAAGGTTTATGTCCCCCCTGACTAGGTGTACATTATTTTTCATTATCAATAAAATTTCCCTCGTACCGCCGAGGTTTTATCAAAAGAAAAAAAAGTTGTATAAATTATAGGGTGAAATATGACTTTATCTGTTAGGCTTTGAAGATTACAATCTTAAAATGAACCAAATCCAAGCCAAACCGAATAGACCAAATTAAAAATAAACTGAAATGAACAAAAAATTGAAAAAATCTTTCAGTTTGGTTTTTAATTTCGATAAAAAAATCAAACCGAATAGAACTGAACCCACCCTTATACTAAAGTGATACAAGAAACCTCTCCTTAGTAATACTCAAATTTTAATTTTCAGTTATTTCCTGGTAACTTTTATTTTAAAGAGAAAATACACACATGTACATTATACAAACGTGTTTACATGTTTTTGTTGCCCTATGTTTCTAATACCTTCTCTCTGTACAAGGTGATTTATGTTATACAGTATTCTAATTTTAAAAACTCAAGTGCAAGAAGACGGTCGTGCAAACCATGTTAGATGGCCTAAACCACATTTGCTTAGCTACAAAAGGGAAGGTTAAAGAATTTATGGCCTACGTGTATCGTTTTCCACAAGCATGCAGTAGGTTAATTGTTTGAAGAGCATTTGTTGCTTTTGAATAGAACATTAACTGTTAACACCTAACTGTACATAACGGATTCATGGAGAAGATAACTGAGCCTTCCAGGTTCCATGAAGGAAATTGAAACAACTCTCCCAATATACACGTGTGAATTAAATGTAACTTAGCATCCACAACAAGTGGTCCAGTGGTAAGGACGAGGATTGCGATTCTTTAATAAACCAAAAAATGTGGAAGGTCTCAGATTCGATAACTTGATACTCCAAGCTAATGAGTCTACTTGACTGTGATTACAAACAAGATGAAAATTTTCATAACCTCTCCGGACTCAGAATTGGTAAATAACCGTGACTTGCCACCAAGCCTCACTGAATTAAATGTAACGGCTATAGGTTGTTACCATTAAGGCCTCACTGAATTTTGGTGTGTGTACATTCACTTATTAATTTATGCAGCGCATGCGAACTAGGTTACAATTATTAACCTCCTTCATTTGGTTGTCACCCTTTTTCTCTCTCTTTTTTTCTCTTTTTATGGGAGGAGAAAGGGGTGTTCGAACTTAGACGTCATTCCAACGTTAGGAATAAAAATGCCACTAGTTTGTTTGTTCATTGTTTTCTTTAGAAAAAACTATGTTTCATTGTTTCTTACTTCCAAAAAGACACTTTACAACAAAACAAAAACAATAGGATAGGCCTTTAAAAGAATAATGACTTACGTGAAATGAGTTTACCGTTATTATGGTTTTTCAATCTAATAATACAATGTCGTAAGTAATTTTTTTTGGGGTTTTTTGAAATAAGTCCAAAATAACTAAAAATTGGACCTATTTCAAAAGGTAGTCTATAAAATTGGACCTATTTTTAATTTTCCCAATTTTTTTCCATAATATTATTATTGGATTGAAAGTGTAACGACATGTCCCTAATTTTCCATGTAATTTCCTTCCCGAGTATATAAATTGACGATTATGCCCTTGTTGGCAAAGTGGAATCCGACGTGTACGTTGTTGTTCAGCTTTTAAAGTATTTTTCATATTATCGTAATTAAATAGTACTCGTTTTTATGAACACGTGAGCACAAGTTAGACCCGAACCGAATTTGTAATGAAAAAGTTATGTTTAGTTCAAGTAAGTTAATAATGGGTAAAGTTGTAGTGCGAATTATTTAGAGTTTGAAACACTGTTTTGATAGGGTGAGCTTGATTTTTGTGTACCTTTAAATTGTACAAAATTTGGACCATTTCCCATTTTCAAACCGGTCCCTCACTTACCACACCAACCAACCACCTTTCTCCCTATTTTCTATCACCCAATCAGAAATTCTCTCTCTTGTACAATCACAAACTCTCTCTCTCTCTCTCTCTCTCTCTCTCTCTCTCTCTCTCTCTCTTCTCTCTTCTCTCTCACCGTACCTCTTTTCTCTCTACAACAACAAAGAACCATTATCAAACCTCACAAGTCCAACTTCAAACCACCACCATCGTGCTCCTCTCCTTACCACGAGTTTGGCCAAATTTTTCTAGATTTCGGCGAACCAAACGGCGGCGGATGGCAACAACGGTGATCGAAGAGCTAGGGAAGAAGGAGAATATTCTGTTAAAGTTAACATAATTCTCACATCATTACTGACATCATTAAGTACGTTTGTTAAAGTTAACGAAATATTCCCCTGGAATCTATCAACGGATGCAGGCTCGTGACTTGCACGTTGCTGCGCATGTGACTGCAAGCTAACGGCGCGTGAGGGCACATGCCGCGGCGCATGGTCGATGTGTACGGGTTCATGACGTCGCATGGAATGTTTTCGTATATTTAAACCCTCCGTTAGTTTAAATAAATTCTAGCTTCGGTTTAAATTTATCCATATTTTATACATCACTTTCCTTTTGGCTACGTCACCTTTGGGTGTTAGCCAGCATACCTCAACTCCGGTCTAAGTGTGTCAAAAAGTCGATATAAATTTCTCTCATCCAAAAAAAAGTGGCATCACATAATTCCCAAGTCCTAACAAACAATAACTAATATTGAACCATTGATAGGTCCATTAGGTCATCAAGGCAAATTCAGTGATCCACTAGTCCTTCCACTGTAATCCATAATGCTATGATGTAGCAGTAGGTCCCAAAAAATTCATACAGCTAACTTTTTTTTCCATCTTTTTGTTGTTAATGTTATAATGTAGAGGAGTTTTAACGAAACACTTCTGGTACTGTTTACTTTTAACGAAAAATCACATTTTTACATTTTTCTGGTGCTATTCACTATAGTTTTATTTGTCATTTTTCATTAAAACTAAAGTTTTTTTTTTTTTTTTACTTTTCGTTAGTTTTTCTTATAATTTAAATGAAAAATGCAAGTAGTACTAAAAGTAAATAAATAAATAAATAAAGTAAAAAATAAAAGAAAATTGTTACTCGTATTTAAAAAATTCAATTGTGCACTTCATTGTTTACAATTAAAATGAAAAAAATTATGTGCACAACTAAATTTTTGGTTATTACAATAATAGAGGAGCTCTTAACGTCGAGACGTAGTAGCGTAATCTTCTCTTATTAGTGTATGGATAATTCTTTGTAATTTTGTAATTAATATCTTCGCATGTTTTACATTATATATATTTTTGTTGTAAATATTTAGATATTTAAAGGTTCTATTCTTGTTTTAATTTTTGTTTCTTTAATTTATTTGTATTTTTTACACATCTCTTTCACACTGAGGTTAGTGTGTCGGTTCCTAAATGAAAAAGGCCAAAGTCCTACATTATAAATTGACTGATGATCCCACACGTCTAGAAAAGAGTTTAACTTAGCAGACTTTTTTTTTTTAACATACAATATTAGTAATTGCTTTTAATAGAAATCGAATCTAAATTATTATTATTTTTTTTTTTATCAAAAGGTAAATTTGTTAAATTAAATGTTAGATTAGAGAATAGATAGGATTTGAACTTCCATTGTGGTGTAAGGAAACACTCTTCTCCACCACCGTAAAAAATGATAATTTCTAAGATTTCTCGCTTGTAAATGAACATAAATATTACTAGACTGTTATACTAAGTATTAAAAAACCAAATAAATAATGAATTTAGAAACAGAATCTGACATATCTTTGCTAAGCCATTTTTGTCAGACCGTCCAAAGGCAGAATCACACACAACCATCCACCGGAGTAATTTTTCGGTGTACCCGGTACACCAAAAAAATTTGGTGTACCCTCACTCATTATGGTGAGGGTACACCAAAAAAATTTGGTGCACCCTCACTTTTTGTACACCAAAAAAATTCTAATGAGTGAGGGTACACCAAATTTTTTTGGTGTACCCGGTACACCTAAAAATTTTCGCATCCACCGCAACGCCGCGATCCCCGAGGTATAATCCGCATATCAAAAAGGCATCCATGACCCTACTAATCCACAGATCATATGTTGGATATCAATCAATCAACTTTGAGTGGACTTAATTTGATTTATATTAGCTTAATGCTTATTTAATTTGATTTGTTTAATATTTATCAATATAACCTAAGCTCAAAACCCAAAATTTCAATTATTTTGTCGCAAAATTACTTAATTTTGATACAAGATATCATATAAAATAATAAGCTAATACTTTAGGAAGGTTCATATTATGCACACTGCATGTATTGGCTTTTACACGAGGAACGTTAAACTAGTTTTTGGAATCAAGATCAAGTTGTTCTTATCTGACACTAATGGATCTGCTTCATCCGTATCTTTGGCAAAAGCCCTTCATTGATAGCGTATTAGCGTTTTACTAAGCAAGTAAACTACCATTACCAAAAAGATTCAAAACCTAAACTGAAAGAGACTCTACAAAAAAAAAAAAACTTTCAGACTCGGTAAGCTTGACCTTATCGTTCATGTTAATAAAACTAAAACACACATTGATAATGTGAATATCCCCAAACAACTATCTGCTTTACATTAATAACTTAGGTGTTAGAGTTAGACATAAATAGAAGTGTGATGACGTAGACGTTGAAACTTTACCGTGCAAATCTAGCTTAACGAATCTGAGGAAGGAGTTGTTAGTTAATAACACATTTGCTAACCATTTTCTAGTACAGTGACATGAAAATTTAAAATCTTTGTAAGCCAATTACATGGAGGCCAAGGCAACCTCCAGTCTACATGTAGCAGCGTTTCTCTGAAGATGTGGATTGTCAATGACCTATAGTAGAATTCGAACTTGAATATGGTTGCAAAAACACAATATTCTAGTCAACTTAACTAAACCTCGATTTGCAGTTTTACGCGCTTGGTAGTCAACACAACTTTGTACGTTTTCCCTCTTGTTTTGGAATTTCGATGAACATTACAAGAATAGTACTAGCATGAATTACGGAGAGAGAGGCGGTTTGCGGAATCCAGGAATCCAGAAGTCGAGGACAACCAGACACAAACCCATCAGAGGGAGAAGAAGACTCAGAAGAGGGTTCTTTGAATTTAAAGGAGGTTTGGAGGCAGGTTGCCAGGTGGCACCTCCCTCTTAACGCGATTTCTGCAATAACTTTCCTTCTTTCCCATTTCCCCATCTTATCCTCCGCACTTGTATAAATCTGAACCCTCCTCCCTCTCTCTCCCACAACAAACACAAACACCTCTCTCTCTCTCTCTCTCTCTCATCTGTTACCATTCTAATGGTGAAAATGGCTACTGGGTTGCTCTCACTTTTGCTTGCATTCGCACTGCTGCTCACTAATCCTGCTTCTGCAGCTTTGCCTTTGGATGGTAAACTCTCTCTCTCTCTCTCTCTCTCTCTCTCTCTCTCATCTGTTTTACTGAACTCTGTCTTTACTTAAGTTTATACTACTTTTAGCGTTTTCTCAATGAACTGATCTTGTTTGCTTAAAACTGTATTTTCAAGAATTGGTTGTAATACTTACAAGTACTTAGTACTATCACCGTCCTACGCTACGGTCAGGTATACTGTAATGACATCCAAGAATCATATATGACCGTCAGACGGTGATAGTACTAAGTACTGTAGTAACCCACAAATATTTTTTGAACTTTTTCCTGATCAATTATTTACCATCTCTGTGACTTGCGTGTTTAAATCAGGACTCTTGGCCAATGGCAACTTTGAAGAACCGCCAAAACCAACAGACCTCAAGAAAACAGTTATCATAGGCAAAAATTCACTGCCCAAATGGGAAATCGATGGCCTGGTGGAGTACATCTCCGCGGGGCCGCAACCCGGCGGAATGTACTTTGATGTAGCTCATGGTGTCCATGCTGTGAGGCTTGGCAATGATGCCTCAATCTCCCAGACCATTAAGGTCAAGCTAGGGTCTCTGTATGCCCTGACATTTGGGGCATCAAGGACTTGTGCCCAAGAGGAGGTTTTGAGGGTGTCAGTTCCCCCCCAGGCAGGGGACCTTCCTCTGCAAACCTTGTACAGCAGCAATGGCGGCGACACTTATGCTTGGGGATTCAGAGCAACTTCTGAAACTGTTAAAGTGACCTTTCACAATCCTGGGATTCAAGAGGATCCTGCTTGTGGTCCACTCTTGGATGCAGTTGCTATCAAGGAGCTTTTCCCCGTGTACCCCTCTAGAGGTAAATTGGATATTGATAACTATGTTTCTGCTAGTTTTTGGTCTTTCTCTGTGCACGGCTGGAGTTTTCAGTTTGATCTCATTTGTCGACATGGTTGATTGTTTTAGGGTATAGAATCATCACTTAAAGGTTAGACTTAAGGTTTTTAGTGTCGGATTTGTTAATCACTTTGATTTTACGTTTTAAGCATCCAACTGTGCTCAGTTCAGTTCAATAGTTCGATTGGTAACCATTTCAGTGTTCAGTTTACAAAATCATTGAATGTTTGACGTTGCAGATAATTTGGTCAGAAACCCTGGCTTTGAAGAGGCTCCCCACAGGTTATTCAACTCTTCCCATGGTGTACTCCTCCCTCCAAAACAACTAGATGCGACATCCCCGCTCCCCGGCTGGATCATCGAGTCCCTCAAGGCCGTAAAGTTCATCGACGCAAAACATTTTAATGTTCCATTCGGAAAGGGCGCAGTTGAGCTTGTTGCAGGGAGAGAAAGTGCCATAGCCCAGGTTCTTAGAACTGTTCCCAACAAGCTCTACAGCCTTTCATTCACTGTCGGTGATGCAAGAAACGGCTGCCATGGATCAATGATGGTTGAAGCATTTGCCGGCAAGGAAACGCTCAAAGTTCCGTTCACCTCCAAAGGAAAAGGCGGGTTCAAGACGGCCAGTTTCAGGTTCAAAGCGGTTTCAATCAGGACGAGAATCACGTTCTTCAGCTCTTTCTACCACACCAAGGACTACGGAGCTCTTTGTGGCCCTATCCTAGATGAAGTTAAGGTTTCCCCTGTTGCTTAAATGCTAGTTTTTTAGTTATATCACCACAAAACTACAACATCATTATAGAGACCAATGGCCAGATGTGTTACCGTTATAGAAGTATTAGGGCTATAGAAGTATTAGGGCTAGTTTGGTATTGTTACGCTATACTTTTTACTAGAGTTATGAAACTTTTCAGGAATAAAATTAAAATCCATCACCGATTAACTCGTTATGGTCGAATTCTATAACTACCGGACCTAGAGTTTTTTTCTTCAAAACGCTACTTCAAGTGTTCTGGACAGTAATGCAACTTTAAAGGGGCTTTATATGTGAAGGATCTTAATATTTCTTTGGTAGCTTATGCTAAATTAGGATGTTTAATGATGCGATAATCATATTGCAAAGCTTGCTAAGAACCCCTTGCCCTTGCTAATTACAGCAGCTAAACCGTTAAGCACGTTCGAATACGAAAACAAAAACATATCGAAACTTTCCAGTTCGATCGCAAGGAAATAACGGAATCAGTAATATGCACCATTAAGCATTCAAAATCAAGGGGTATGTATTAACATGAATTACACTTTTGATTATTTGATTGAACATGCAATAAAGTTCCATAGAATGTAAGAACATCTCTAATGCTTATGAAACAATAATACACAACATCTCAATTTGACAACATGGCACAACGTGTGAGAAGGTGTGTACGAAAATGAAATTATAAAATTGTCCGGTGAGATGATAGGAAAATAAATTGATGTACCAATCTGCCGGTATCATGAGGGGGCCGAAGATTCCGAGCGGTTGGAATGTTGCCCTTCACTGTCGTCTAAAGTACCAACGAGACATTTCTCGAGTAAAAATTCAGCATTCACCCAAGCATGATATTTATCTAAAGCAATGTAGTAAGGAGCAATAGTTAACAGCACTTTATAAGAAGCTAAAATAAAATGAAGATGATCCCACACAAATTGCTGATTTGCGGGCATTGTTAGATTTGCTGAAGTTTGGGTCTGGCTTAGGAGAACCTTTTTGGTTGTGTTATTTCGCCACATCGGATTTCAGGGATCCTAAACCCATTCCTTGGAATGAGATGAATCAGGAACCAAAAGAATCCGGCATTCCTATTCAAGTTTTGGAAATGCTAGGGACTTTGGTGAACAAGAAAAAGAAAAAAAATCCTCCCACTAAAAATAACAAGTTTTACGGGCAGTTCTGTACGCAGAGAATACATTTGCTCACCACCCACTCTGTACCATTGGAAGAGTATGATTTAATCTATCCGCTACGCAGATCCCAAAAATAAAAACTCATCCAACAACACATAATATGGTGGTAGCAAATCTATTCTCTTGTTTCATGGACACGTCAGGCTTAAGAACAATAAAACTCAACGACACATAACCAATGAAGTATAGAAAAGGATACTGAACAAAGATGTGCAATCTTTTCCCACAGCCTTCTTTAGAATATCAACACCTAAAGAAAAAGAAATCATCAGAAACAGGAATAGTATGTCATGCAGTTCTGACCAAATAATACATACACAAACTCTCGCAAGTCAACCATTTATGGATCGTAGTTATAGATCTCATCACTAAGCAGTTTTTTGGTGACAGAATTATACCAATTGCAATTGAAGATTTTAATAAAATTGGTGGTAATGCATTTGCAAAGGCTTATATAGAGATAATATTGTTAACATCAGATTGCCCTATAAGCAAACGCTTTACCTTTCTACCTTATTACTCTTCCTATGTCATTGATGGGCTCAGAGTTGTCACACATCCACCAAGTCAACTTAAATCAATAGTCCACATCCCTTATATAGCTAATCTTCATTAGAAATATAGAAGAAACAAAAGTTGGGCAGATTTCTGGTATAGCACTTCTCATAGACGGTAGATGTCCCATCCTATTAAATTTATTTTGTCGGCTAAGTTGGCATAGTGGAGCAATAAAACTTCAAACTTCAATAAGAAGACTTACAAAAACCCAATAAAACATGCCTACTGATATAAATACTTTAAAATTTTGGGGTTTATGGAGAAAGGTGTCAGCAATACACACTTGGGATGACACTGCTCACTCCAGCTAACATTTGAACTTGAACAGACTAAAATACGTACATACCTCCGGGGTGAAATCTCATGTATGGAGACAAATTGTACACACGGCCTTTTAGAACAGTCCACATTGAATCTCCTTTTTGGTGCTGTTTAACTTCATTCAGTGAAATAAGCCTCTTATTTGATTGTCCCTTTAAACCTGAGAAACAATTTGTATCTTGAGAAGCTAACACTGATATAATCACTACTGCACTTAAAAATACCCAAGATATCACATGTTGTTTCCTGAACTTATAATAACATGCATTAAAAATTCACAACGAATAGGCTTGCTACGAGTACATAATATTCCTAAACATGTTCTCCAACAAGATTGAATTAGGAACCTCAGTAAACTTGTAATGCTAAAATCCAAGCCCTTCCAATCCAACCTTCTATTTCATTGGGCAAAGTTTGAAAGTATTTTCTTTATATCTTTTGATAATTGCCTTTAGGATTATGTATGCATCATAGCTACCAGAACACAAATGACGAGAAAAAAAAAGTCAAGAAAAGTATTGGCAGGAAGAAGAAAATTTATGACAGATGAGAAGCAATTTCAGCTGAAGCACTTTTAACTAAGTACCTGCAAGGTCAGGATGTGTTCGAGTAAGTTTGAGCCAATCCATTTGGCTATACCCCTTCTCAAAAGGAACTTTAGCACGAGTTGCAGGCTTCACTGACTTTCCAGCATCACCTGATTTTAGTTGCTTCGGAACTTCAGATTTCTTTTTCATGGATGATGCATCAATGATGCTGACAGACAAAGAACCAACTGTTTCCTGTTTTTTGGAAGCGGCTCCTCCTGGTAATCCACCTTGCCACAGAACACCTCTATTCTCATTACTACTATTGCCATTTGACAATCCATCCTTTAGGGTAATGTTTTCTATATCTGAAGTGAGCTTCTTTGTCTCATAACCATCCTGGTTGCCTGGTGGACCAACCTGAACATATACCACAGACCTTACTCCAATATAGAATTATGACATACAAAAACCCAGCGCCAATCAATCATACCCCCGAAACACAAACCACTGCAGATAATGCATTGAAGCAATGCATATTTCAAGGGTATAACTTTCTTGATAGCAAAATGTACATATAACGCTTACCTGACAAAAAGTGAAATCGTTATCATTCTCCATTTCCAAGCCGAATGAAGTTCCCAAAAACTATTTCAAGCAATCTTTCCTGTCAAAAGATAATATAAACATCACATTTTAATACCAAAAAGATCATGAGATGGCTTTTCTAAAATACTATAGTACCATACCCTGATAGCCAAACTTAAATGATAACCATCCAATAAGACAAAATACATGAAACAGGGACAATTAGGACTCTTGATTACACCCTATCAATTACAAATCTTTAATACACAACAGATTAACACTGTTTACTACTGCTTTTGATAACTATGTTTAAAAATATTTTTGAAAACTCAGCCAAACAGGTCAAGCTCCCCCTCCCACCTCCTAAAGACTGAAGAGGAAAAAGATAAAATTAAATTCTCAGTAAATATGTTGTACTTTATAGATATATTAATTGGTGAGTACCAAAAAATGTTATGTCCAACTAAAGGAACAAGAAAAATATATGACATCTACATTAGTGTTTACGAAGTGAGATGGGTATCAGGCCCAAACTTGTATGTCATCACGCTAAGAAACTCACAAATCATAATCATTCAGACAAAAATCCACGATTCATATAAGCTAAGGAGTAAAAGTAATCCACTAAGCTTAAAATCGTCGAAATTTCAATTTAATTGAAAACGGAACAACTTTGTGTGCTTAACTTTGACTCCAAAATTTCCAAAAGCCAATGTGATTCCAAGCATTAACTCTACTACAACTTCATTCCAGTATCCAAATTGATTTCAAGCAAATAGCTCATTACCCAATAATCATAACCTTGAATCCAAGTTCTTATACGTTCAAATCCAATTGAAGAAAGCAATTGGCATACAAAGCACCCCCCACTCTAATAGTTTTAGAAAGGCAGCAATTGAATAACATCATTCATAACCCGGGACTTGGGAAAAAAGAAAACAAAATGAACAAAACCTCCATTGCTCCAGCTGACCAAAAATACCACAACACCCTAGTCTAACTAAAATTCTTCGATTCACCGAAACTGAATTCGGTTAAATTACACAATACCAAACTTTAATATAACATCTCCTTTCCCATTATTCTTAGTTATCAAGCAAATGGTTAATCTATATACACACACCACAATTAAGCAATTATCAATTTTTCCCAGCTAAAAACACAGCAGTTAAACTAAAACTTGTATTCGGGAAAATTGGTAATCATAATAACCAAACTCAAAAAATACCCAAATACCAATTCAACCATGAATTTGTTAAGTCAAGATGAATCTCTAATGATCTAATCTGGTAACCAACTAATCAATGACAATAAAAAGTTATATCACAGAACCTCAAGTCGCTGACTTCCAATTGTTTTTGCCTGTTATTGTTGAAATTTCAATTTTCTATGTGGTTTCCTTGAACTTTCTCGGCAACCAAACAGAAAGTGAAGAATAATCCAAGTAGATGAGAAATGGGAAAGAAAAACGTACTCGCAAGTGTGTATTCAGGTTGATGTAGATGCCCTTTCACCCTCCCTCTCTCTGTCTTCAGTATGCGATCGTCGAGACAGCAGAATTGGAGTCGCTTGATTCAAGTTCCGTTATTGTCAGCTTGAAGAATAAGCTAATCTAATGCCTTTTATTTGAAAGAAAAAAAAAACATAAGACAACTAGTGCAATATAGAATTATGACATACAAAAACCCAGCGCCAATCAATCATACCCCCGAAACACAAACCACTGCAGATAATGCATTGAAGCAATGCATATTTCAAGGATATAACTTTCTTGATAGCAAAATGTACATATAACGCTTACCTGACAAAAAGTGAAATCGTTATCATTCTCCATTTCCAAGCCGAATGAAGTTCCCAAAAACTATTTCAAGCAATCTTTCCTGTCAAAAGATAATATAAACATCACATTTTAATACCAAAAAGATCATAAGATGGCTTTTCTAAAATACTATAGTACCATACCCTGATAGCCAAACTTAAATGATAACCATCCAATAAGACAAAATACATGAAACAGGGACAATTAGGACTCTTGATTACACCCTATCAATTACAAATCTTGAATACACAACAGATTAACACTGTTTACTACTGCTTTTGATAACTATGTTTAAAAATATTTTTGAAAACTCAGCCAAACAGGTCAAGCTCCCCCTCCCACCTCCTAAAGACTGAAGAGGAAAAAGATAAAACTAAATTCTCAGTAAATATGTTTTACTTTATGGATATATTAATTGGTGAGTACCAAAAAATGTTATGTCTAACTAAAGGAACAAGAAAAATATATGACATCTCTGTTAGTGTTTACGAAGTGAGATGGGTATCAGGCCCAAACTCGTATGTCATCACGCTAAGAAACTCACAAATCATAATCATTCAGACAAAAGTCCACGATTCATATAAGCTAAGGAATAAAAGTAAACCACTAAGCTTAAAATCGTCGAAACTTCAATTTAATTGAAAACAGAACAACTTTGTGTGCTTAACTTTGACTCCAAAATTTCCAAAAGCCAATGTGATTCCAAGCATTAACTCTACTACAACTTCATTCCAGTATCCAAATTGATTTCAAGCAAATAGCTCATTACCCAATAATCATAACTTTGAATCCAAGTTCTTATACGTTCAAATCCAATTGAAGAAAGCAATTGGCATACAAAGCACCCCCCCTCTAATAGTTTTAGAAAGGCAGCAATTGAATAACATCATTCATAACCCGGGACTTGGGAAAAAAGAAAACAAAATGAACAAAACCTCCATTGCCCCAGCTGACCAAAAATACCACAACACCCTAGTCTAACTAAAATTCTTCGATTCACCGAAACTGAATTCGGTTAAATTACACAATACCAAACTTTAATATAACATCTCCTTTCCCATTATTCTTAGTTATCAAGCAAATGGTTAATCTATATACACACACCACAATTAAGCAATTATCAATTTTTCCCAGCTAAAAACACAGCAGTTAAACTAAAACTTGTATTCGGGAAAATTGGTAATCATAATAACCAAACTCAAAAAATACCCAAATACCAATTCAACCATGAATTTGTTAAGTCAAGATGAATCTCTAATGATCTAATCTGGTAACCAACTAATCAATGACAATAAAAAGTTATATCACAGAACCTCAAGTCGCTGACTTCCAATTGTTTTTGCCTGTTATTGTTGAAATTTCAATTTTCTATGTGGTTTCCTTGAACTTTCTCGGCAACCAAACAGAAAGCGAAGAATAATCCAAGTAGATGAGAAATGGGAAAGAAAAACGTACTCGCAAGTGTGTATTCAGGTTGATTTAGATGCCCTTTCACCCTCCCTCTCTCTGTCTTCAGTATGCGATCGTCGAGACAGCAGAATTGGAGTCGATTGATTCAAGTTCCGTTATTGTCAGCTTGAAGAATAAGCTAATCTAATGCCTTTTATTTGAAAAAAAAAAAAAAAAAAACATAAGACAACTAGTGGACCCTCTCGGTCCGGTGGAGGAAAGTTGAGAATTGCACCTTACTTATGGTCAAAATTCATTTAATTGTTTTAACCATTGGATTTAATTTTGTGTCGTTAGATTAATTTTTTTTTTTAACAGTTAGATTTGATCATATTAGATCACAATAGTTGGATTCAATAAATTTATAAATATAAAACTAAAAATTAAATAATTTTGAATCTAAACCGTTGAAACAACCAACGGTCCAATTAATCGTGGGGCGACACACCCACGTGCGTGGGATCTAGTCAGCGCTTTGTGTATGCAGTGTTGGGCAAGTGAAGCTCGCGCGTCTAGACTCTGTTGGGCGCATTCACTCTTATATGTGGGCCAGCCCATTAATCTAGTGGAGAGTCCAGGTCAAAATTGGCCTCAAAATTGAGTTTTGGGTTAAAACTCATTTTTAGCCTAAGGTTTGGAGCAAGTTTGGACGGATTTAGAATCTAAAATTTGAGTTTTACTCCAAGGGTTAGAGTAGATCTTAGCATGTTAACTGAGTATCCCTTTTATCACCGTGGAGTGGAAGGGGATTTGAACTTGATATCTTGAATGTTGGAAGAGAAATATCACTAAAATAAGAGTTTGCTACACTTGTTGGTATGCATGAGCACTTGTTGGTATGCATGAATTGTAGTTATGTGGTTGTACAAATTCATATGTTATAAAATAGGTAAATGTGTGTCATTTGATTGTGATCAAGAGTGGGCTGAAATGTCTTTCCAGACCCAATCGAGGATTAGTCCTACCCTAGAGGATGTGGGATACCTCAAGCTTCGTGTGTGTGTGTGTGTGTGTGTGTGTGTGTGTGTATGTGTGTGTGTGTATAAGAGAGAGAGAGAGGAGGACGCATGCTCCTAGAATATAGAATATAGTACTAGTTAATGCATACACATATCATGCGACGAACGAAATAATAACATCACATAGTAGTGTTCAAGTCACTCTTAAAAATCTCTAGTTACAAAGAATAACCACAAGACCAAATGACACATCCTAGGCTCAACTCCACCGTAGCACGATATTGTCCGCTTTGGGCCCCTACCACATCCTCACAGTTTTGTTTCTGGGAACTCAGACGAGAACTTCCCAGTGGGTCACCCATCATGGGATTGCTCTCGCGCGCTACTCGCTTAACTTCGAAGTTCCGATGGAAGCCGAAGCTAGTGATCTCCCAAAAGGTCTTGTGCTAGGTAAAGATGGGAATATACATATAAGGTTTAGAGGATTCACTTCCTTGGACGATGTGGGATGTTACACCAAACTTCGCAAAGACTTTCACACTTGTCTTCTCTTTATGCTTTCCTCCGTTGGTTTTCTTCCCTTGAGTTGATACGAATAAAAATATGGAGTGTTAAAATCACTTCTCAATCGGTATTTGGATTTAGGATGAGTTCCTTTTGTACATGGTACAAGAACTACAATTACAAGGTAGGTTTTGGTTTTGTAACATGATTGAAACATCGCATTTGACATGCCATCGATCGGCTCTTAACAGTAGTATTGACACAATGACAGGTGACACAGAGATCAAATTATCATTCAAGAGTTGGCCAAGATTCCAAGCATTCCTTTCCTCACATTACCACTATCAAGTGACGAACATACGACGCCGCAAGTCCTAACGGTGAAGTTATCAAGCATCCGTCAACGCTTTAATATCCCTTGTCTCGTATTACAGGAGCGTTACATCTTCGATATGACACATTTAAGATTCCTGTAACAAAACATACAAGTGCAAAACAAAATTTATCAGCAACCAGCACTTGCCAGCCAAGATCATACAAACATTGCAAAATAAATAAATCAGGAACCCTCCAGTACCAAAGAATACTTGGGCTATGGATTACAAAGGATGATTCCTCATGAAAGATAATGCATATAGTGATCGCCTAGACTGAAGGAAGCTGAAAACGTCTAAGGAGAACGCTAGAAAACCTTTATTTGTTAGAGATGCCTAGACTAAGACTTTGTTTCAATGTTGGTCCTTCATGCTTCCAAGAACAATCGTTACCTTGATCCCTTGCCCACTCCTTGTAAGCATAAACCTGCAATATAATGACTTCCTTAAGCTGATAAGCTAACACGAAAAAAAACTGTCTCGTTTCAAAAACACTCCACAATGTCCACATGATTGGTCGTCATGATATGAATAATTAGTACCAACTCTCATGGGCAATCCTATTCCTATGTAGTGTACAGAAATCGACGATTGTTGACTTGAGGGGTCTCAAACAAACATTATTACCGTTATCACTATAATTGCTAAAAATTCCTTTTATACCTTTGCGTTCAACGATATCTCCTTTTCACACATACAGCCTAGCAGAATATAAAAAAAAACACAAGTATTCACATGATGTCTCTTTCACCAGAATCACCATGAGGAAACTAAGAGGCATTTATTCTAGTTAATGCAAGCATATTGTATATCCTGTAAGGTTGGTCAGGATTACCTCTCACATTGTAAGGTGAATTTGTTCTGGCTCAACCAGCAGAAAACTCTGACGACGGGTGATCTGAGACAGCCAGCCAGCTTTTGGCACAAGCACCAACCCGAACACGGTGCAAAAGATCTCAAATCAATATCTGGAATATCATTTTTTCTGGCATAAAACCATAATGAAGTACCTCCACATCCACCTCTAATCACCATGACCATAAATGCTTTCGGAAGGAATACATCCAAGCAATACCATAGGGATTCTAGTATTTGAAAAGAATTAGGCTAGAAGAAACTAAAATAAGATTCCTCCCGATCAATACCAATAAAGCTCTGATTCACCTCTCCCCTTTCTTTAGACAAGTTGCTGACCAGTATATACCAAGTCCAATGATTTGGTATCAACCCATTATTCACGCCTCTATGTAGAAGTAAACAAGCATCATCAATCATTCCCTGTTTGCAGTGCCAACTGATCAGAGTGTTATAAGTAATAACATCAGGACACATCCCTTCAGCTTGTAATCTATCAAAGAGATTCAAAGCTTCCCAAATGTGTCCCATCTTGCATAGACCATTTATGAGGCTATTATAAGTGACTATGTCTGGCATCAAACCCCGATGAATCATATCTCGTAGAAACTCAAGTGCATCATATACTTTGCCACTTTTACACATACCATTAATCAAAATATTACAGGAGAAACTATCAGGATGAAGTCCCTTCATCATCATTTCTTCAAACAATCCCCTTGCCTTGTCAACAGCTCCAGCCTTGCAGAGTGCCTTAATTAGCCCATTATAGGTTATTTTGTCGAGAGGGCATCCTCTAAATACCATTTCATTTACAAGCTTAAGTGCTTCTTGTATCGCACCTCTTGTCAAGAAAGCATTAATTAACGTGTTGTAAGTAACAGTGTTGGCAACAACACCCTCCAGTAACATATCACGGTACAATCTGAATGCCTCTTCCATTTGATCAACCTTGCACAGTCCAAATATTAAAGAATTAAATGTAAATATGTCTGGCTTACATCCTTTGCTTGAGATTTCACAAAACAATTTTAAAGCTTCCTGGACTTTCCCATCCTTGCATAGAGCAGAAATTAGACGATTGTATCCCATGATATTCAGACTTAGTCCCTTGTATGACATCTCATTTAAAACATCACTAGCTTCCTCCAGTTGGCCCTCCTTGCAGAACCCATCGATCATTATGGTGTAAGTTATTACATTAGGCTTGCAGCCCTTAATTTCCATCTCACTGACCAATTCACGAGCAGAACTCAAACAGCCCTTCTTGCAGAGCCCATGAATCAGTATGTTAAATGTATATACATCAGGGTCGCAGCCATTACCTAACATACCATCATATAGAACAGCTTTGGCTTCATCAAACCGTCCACTCATAACATAACCATTAATCAAGGTATTGAAAAGCACAATATTTGGGGAAGGCACTTTGTTCAACAATGCCTTTGCTTCATCAACTTGCCCTGTTCTGCATAATCCATGCATTAAAACTCCATAAGTCACATCATCAGGAGTAAACCCCCGGAGAAGCATCCGATCAACCAATCTTGCTGCCTCATGAATCCGATTGACCTTGCAAAGACCATGGATAATATCATTGAAAGTCTGAACATCAGGTGTACAACCCATCAAAAACATTTCCTCCAAAAGTCTCAATGCATCATTCACTTGATTATTCTTGGAGAGTGCATGTATTAGAGTCTGGTAAACCACTGAATTTGGCACACAACCATGCTTCGTCATGTCTTTTAGAAGCGAGCAAGCGGAATCCACCTCATTAACCATACAAAGTGCTTTCAGAACCACTCCAAATGTGTAAACATTGGGAGAGATACCCCTACTCAACATGTCATAGAAGACATTGGGAGCAACCTTTGGGCAATTCCCAGCCACAAGTATATCCAATACAACATTATAAGATCTAAAAGTCGGTTCACATGAATAAACACCTCTCATGTCTAAAAGCAGCCTGGTCGCTTGTCCGGGCAAACCAGCCCTCCCATAATACTTCATAATCATAATGAAAAGGGACTCACTAAAATTAAACCCCTTCTCTTTAATCTGCATCAACAACCTATCTATAATTTTAAATTCCCCGGCTGCCCCGAGCTTATCAATTAACACATAGTACACATCAAAAGAATGGCAATACCCCTTCTGGGCGCCAACCAACTCAAATATCTCCATCGACGAGGGCACATCGAGTGGAAGTTGAAGCAACTTACAAAGTTGAATTGGAGTGATTTGAACAAGTGACTTCCTAAGTTCATTGAGGTCAAAGGGCTTAAGAATCTTCTCCCACTCATTTTCTGACTCTGACCCTTTATCATTCAACACTCTATCACTAACATCCTTAAAATACCCAGCTGACAAAATTGCAAAACAGTGGGGTTTTAACAAAGATTGCAAATTTCTTGTCAGATGGGTCAAAATATTTGGTATTTTATACATTACTCCAAATGGGTAACTCAAAATTTTAAGAAAACCACCAGAAAACCAGAGATTCGATAAACCTGAGAAGCAAAGTGGTCATGGGCATTTTCCAGAGGTTCGGTGAAGCTGAGAACCATTTGAGCTGAAATTTCCCGAAGCTTGAAGGATCAAACAATAAAAAAGGAAAACCATAAAAATGTGAAAGGAATTCAATAGAAAAATGAGAAAAAGAAAGATTCAAAATTACGGCCAAATGTCTACTGAACATGTCGATGCTCAACACAATCATGCATTAATGATCAAAACAAAGCTAGTTTACCTGCTTGAAGTAGATACTACAAAAATTGCTCTTTAACTCGCGATTAACTACACAAACAGATTGAACCCAATTCAATTGTAATGAAATTACAATCAGGGAATGCTTAGTTGCTTACTTTAATTGGTTCCAGGAGTCGAGGTGGGCTGTCGAGACAGCGAGAGGAAGCTCGCAAGGGTGACGGCGAGGTGGACGAGGTCGGCGTGGAGGAGGGGGAGATGGAGCCGCGGAGGGAGAGGTTGGTGAGGGAGCCTGGGAGAGTGCGGAAAGAAGAGGGGAGATAAGGCAGATGCGGGCTGGGGACCGAAGAGAAACTTGGGCTGAAGGTTGAGCCTAAAATTATGGTTGATTCGAAATTGAGCTTTGAAAATAAAATATTTAATATAAATAAATAAATTTAGTATAATATTTAATTCGATTTTGAATGAAATCAATGTTTCCATTTACACAAGTGATATTGTGGGAAGCAAGTTTCAAACCCAACCTTCTATTTTTATTTTTTTTAACAAATAATATTATATACATTAAAGAGAAGAGGTATGTTAAGTTTCATAATGAGTTAGCAATAATGTAATTCAAATTTGTCTTTTGCGAGAATCAAACATAAAATCGCTTACTTACGAGTAAAGAGAAATACTACTAGACTGTAATACTAAGTAATAATACTTTATCAACTTAGATGTTGAAAAATATGCAAATTCTAAATAAATTTATTTATTTTTTGGGTTTGTATTATTATAAATAGGTTTTTCTAGCTCCATGCGTTATTTTACAAAGTTTCGGCTTTATGTATTATTTATTTCTAGTTTTTTAATTTTATAAATAAGATTGTTTGGGATACTAACTATTCGTTTTTAAAATGATTGAAATCATTTTGGATGAAAAAAAAAAAAAGAGTAAATTATAGCAATGATCCATTAACTTAAACTCAATTGGAGTAATGGTCCCTCAATTAAAAATTCATTACCATGGGTCCATCAACTCATCAAAACGTTCAGCTATGGCCCCTCAACTAAAAATCCAGTATCATTGGTCCCTTAACTTTAATTTAACAGGAGAAATTGTCTCTCAACTATAACTCAATTGAAGCAATGATCCCTCAACTTTAACTCAATTGTAGTAATGGTTCTTTCTACACAACTCATTTTGACCAAATTTTGACGAAGTTTTACGAAAGTGACCATAGCTACACATTTTGATAATATTGAGGGATCCCAATTGTAGCAATAGTCCTTCCAACATAACTCATTTTGACGAAGTTGATGAAAATAACCATAGCTACACATTTTGATGAGTTGGGGGGACCAATGGTAATTGATTTTTAGTTAAGAGATCATTGCTCCAATTTGATTAAAGTTAAGGGACCATTGCTACAATTTACCGAAAAAAATAAAAATGCAAGTAAATATTTTTTTTTAGTACAACGATATAGTTTTACACTAAGAGGAGAGAGTTCGGTAAATTATTAAAAGCACTTTATTGCTTTAAAGACATTTTCAATCATTTTAAAAATGGTTTTAAACAAGCCCTACCTTATCACATGAAACTGGAGGCAAATGACTTCAGAATAGTTAAATATTCATACTTAGTTGGTAACTATTATAGGCATTCCCTGTTAGATAAATATCAACAATCAATGATAAATTTATATATGCTAATAAATAATAAATGCAAATAAATAATTTAACAGACAATGAATAAAACAAAATAATATTAAACAGACAAACTGAAGATCGAGGCTTGCATACCATAATGTCATTGAAACAGAAATTTCATCCATACTCTGTGTTTGTAGTTCTACAGACATCTGCTTCACCAGAAGTTAACGATCTAAGTCAAGATTTCAGCATCGAAAAACTAGACTTTTGGCAAATTTTTTTGTGGTTCTCTCAATAAGAAGGTTTTGTAGTGCAGAAGAAGATTTGATTTTTCTGTGATCTAAATGCCATGCTGATGGATGTATATAATTGATTTATGCATGTTCGCAACATGTATGAGTATGAGATGCATCTATTAGGAGACATCTTCTTAGAGAGGTGCTTTACTCTTTGGCGTTCTATCATTGCCTCAGACTTTATCTAAAAAGATGAGTTTGTTGATATAAAAAAAAAATAATTAATTAAATAATTATTAGATCCCAAGGCCCGTTGTGACAGCCCGTCCCAGAAATATTACAACGTACGTGTGAAAAGACAAAATTGCCCCTAGTTCGATTTCTTTACGTTTATTGGTGGTTTTTGAGTTGGTTGGCATGTTGTAGGCCACACACACTTTCCCACACACCACAACCTTTCCTCCTGCTTCCTGCACACTGTCCCGAGTCCCCATTCCCTTCCCATTTCCTTTGAAACGTACGGACACACCCACAAACCCATCGAACCTTCACAGATCGTGGAATCCAAGCACATATTCAGACTCGTGAGGCTTGTAGGAGTCTAACTATACCTTTTTCAGGTAAGAACACCTTCGTTTTCACGTCGAATCCACGATGCCCGATTTTGGTACTGTTCATGCACACGTAATTTCTCACGTTTTAGGGAATTTCAAGCTTGTAGGAAGCTTGGTGAGGTCCCTAGGAGGCTCGGGGTGGTTCGTTTGATGGTTTTGGACGTTGGGATCACGAGTTTCGAGGTTGGCCGGAGTTGGGGTGATTTTCCAGGTGAGATTTCGTGGTTTTTAGCACTTGAAAGTGGTATGATTATGTTCCTCTCGTTGTAAGCTTCATTTTAGTACCAATTTTGTGAAATTTGGTTGAAAAACGAAGAAGATATCGAAGTTTGAAATTTTCCTGATTTTCCGACGCCGGAGGCTCGCCGGAGAAGACGACGGAATATTCCGTCAAGTTTGACGGAATATTCCTGACACAATTGACGGAAACCGTTAGGGATAACGGAATATTCCCTTACGGCGTCAGTTGGTGCCGTCAGTGTGCCAGGCACGTGCCTGCGTGTGGCAGTGCCTTGGCCGGCGCGTGGGGGCGCGTGCGACGGTGAAAAATTATTTTAAAAATATGGGGATGTTCCTGAGGTTAAGTAGATCACGTTGGTGTATTCATACACCCCATTTGAGCATTGTATGAGAAGTTATTTTTAAAGTTTGGTTATGTGCTTTAAAACTTACGTTTTTATAGTTGTTTCGCATATAGGTGAGACGTATCCCGAGGACAAGCGTGGTCACTCGAGGCAGGGGGGTTACGACCCTTCCACTTACCAGTGAGTGGGCTTTTGGTTTTCCGTATATACCTATATACTTATATTTTCCTAGAAATTGATTTGAATTGTCATTTGCCATATGTCATGCATTAGATTATTGTTATTTATGCATCGTTAGTTGCATTATTAGTTGTATATATATATATATATATATATATATACACATATACATATGCATATTGGGTGCTGCGGACGCACAGGTAAGTGCCAGGTAAGTGTTATTCATGTTTACATTCAGTAGCGATTCGAGATGCTTAGAGAGCTCATAACCTGCACCCCCGGTGTTAGTGCTCCCGCCCAGAGTATGGCACAGTCCTTCACATGTTGTTCACCTCCCGCACCACACGCTCAACTTGGATCCAAGTTAGGTGCACAGTCCTGTCGTACAGACCACTTTAGGTGGTTCCGACTCATAGGTGACCCGCGATTATTCGCACAGCCTTCACGTGATCGTAGCACTAGAGCGTTTATATGTATTACACCCAGGCCTGTCGTACATACCACTTTAGGTGGTTCCGACTCGTGGGCAGGTTTAGTTAGTTACTGAGATTTGAGCTCTAGATTCAGCCGTACAGGTCACGTTAGGTGACTCCGGCTGCCAGACTATATGATATTGATATGATTTTCACCTGAGCACTTGCATTTCATTATGAGATTTGGCATGGCATATCCTGAAGCATGATTGGTATATATATATATACGTGTGTGTGTACATAGATTTATTTTCTGGGAAGTATACAGGTTTTACGGCGAGGGGTTAGAACTTATTTGTTAAATGGTTTTCGAAAAGCTTTGTTTTTGCCCACTCACGCTTTTGTTTTGCGCCCCTCCAGGTTCTAGTTGTCTAGCAGGTTTGGTGGTTTCCCAGAGGGCTTTCCCGGCATTTCTGACAGACGATCACCAGCATAGGGCCACTTTCGGGTGTACTGTTGTTGCGTCGTTTTTATTTTGGACTGCTTTAGGCTTTATGCTCTGAACTTGTTTCTCACTTACGCTAGCACTTGTTTCTATTACCTTATGTTTGCTAGTTTTTATTTATTCGTACTTTTTACATTACTATTTTATTAGCTTCCGCACTGTGCACATGGTTACGTCACTTTCACGTGACGGCCAGCATGCCCTAATCTCAATCGGGGTGTGTCACCCATCGTTTGATAATTAATAGAACTGTAAATATATATTAATTATCAATTAATTAGCACAACCCGAAGCCCAAACCCAAGGTTGAGTCCAATTTTATTCTTCGTAGTCTATAACTGGAATCATTTTCTAAAATGGACAAAGCCTTATAAAGTGAAAGAATCTTTTGGTGGTGACCATTATAGGACAATAAAATATTTACTCAAAATTTCCAACACTTCCTCCCTCTCCTATAAACTGGAGTAGAAAATATTCTTCAGAAAACTAGAACTCAAGAGAGAGAGAGGGAAAAGGTGGTTGAAGAAAATGGGTTTGAATCATGAAACAAACGTGATTACATATCTTGTTGATTGGAAAATATTGTGATAGATGTAAAAGATGAAGTGACATCTTTGTTTATCACTAGTGTTGTGAGATGTGATCAGAACTACGGTGTTAAGATTGAAATGACAATGAAAAAAATAAAACGAATCTTTTGTGTAGTTGAGTCAAACTCTTAGTAGGTACTAGATTTCGGGCTATCCCACCATACACAGTTTCTTTTACAGCATCTCCTTATGACAGACGTTATTGAAATTTTTAGGTCATGTGATATTTTATTGTTGAGAATTACAATTATCCCGGTTAAAAAAGTTTCCATAAACTAAACAACCCGCCATGCGAACCCCACGCACCGTTTCAGTCGACCTAGATTCCCCTTCTCCTTCATCATCCACCGTGATTCCCCAAACTCAAAATCCAGCCGTCCGATTTGCCCCATTCCAAAATTTCAAACACCGCGCCCAAAACCTTCCATTTGAAATTCGAATTCAAATCTCTAAACGACCGTTGCATCCCCCCCCATAAATACCTAATTCATCTCTCCCTCTCACTCATTTCCTCACTCTAGAGAATCTTCCGCCTCCTCCAAACGCCACCAACCATGGCGATCGAGAAGAAACGCCCGCTCCAAACCAGCAACAACGCCAACATGGACCACCCAGCCCCGACCGATGGCGGCGGCGGCAAGGGCAAGACGATCGAAGAAATGTACCAGAAGAAGAGCCAGCTGGAGCACATCTTGCTCCGACCAGATACCTACATCGGATCGATCGAGAAGCACACCTCGAACCTATGGGTCTACCAAAACAGCGAGATGGTCAACCGTTCCATCACCTACGTTCCCGGACTGTACAAGATCTTCGACGAGATCCTCGTCAATGCCGCCGATAACAAACAGCGAGATCCATCCATGGACTCCGTCAAAGTCACCATTGACGTCGAGCAGAACTGCATAAGCGTCTACAACAATGGCGCTGGAGTTCCCGTCGAGATTCATCAGGAGGAGAGGGTCTACGTCCCGGAGTTGATCTTCGGACACCTCCTGACTAGTAGTAATTACGACGATACGGTGAAGAAGACCACCGGTGGACGCAACGGCTACGGCGCCAAGCTCACGAACATCTTCTCCACCGAATTCATCATCGAGACGGCAGACGGTATGCGACAGAAGAAGTATAAGCAGGTATAAAATTGTGGATTCACTAATTTCCGTGACGTTTGATATGTATTTTAGGGTGTTAGTGTTTTGTGGAATGTAGGAATTAGGATTCGATCTTCTATTTTAGGGTTTGGTGTGTATAGAATTATGGATTTTCAAATTTCTGTGATGCTTGATGGGTTTGAGTGTTTGGCGGAATTGCGGAATTAGGATTTGGTCTTCTACTTGTGATCGTTCGTTTGATGTGATTTCGTTTTATAACCTATGATTTATTGGGGATTATTGTAATTAAGTTTCTATGGGTTTGAAATGAATTTCCGAATTCCGACTGAAGCATTTGGCAGTGATGTTGTGTTCACTTATTATGTCAGTTGAATAATCTGATCCTTGCTGATATCAGGTGTTCACCAACAACATGGGGAACAAAACTACGCCAGTCATCACAAAGTGCAAAGAAAGTGAGAACTGGACCAGGGTTACGTATAAGCCTGACCTGTCGAAGTTTAATATGACCCATCTGGAAGAAGATGTGGTGGCGTTGATGCAAAAGAGAGTAATTGACTTGGCTGGATGCCTTGGAAAGACAGTGAAGGTTGAGCTGAACGGAACTGAGGGTCCCTGTAAAGTCATTTCTTGATTACGTTGACCTCTACTTACAATCTGCTGGAAAATCTAGAGATACTCCCCTTCTAAGGTTTTTGTTATGAATTGCACTTTTTGTCCTGATTCGTTCTTCCTTTTTTTCTCTTCGTAGTGGGGATTGCTAACCGTATCTGCTCATTTGACAGGATGACAGAGAAAGTCAATGATAGGTGGGAGATTTGTGTGAGTCTCAGCGACGGCCAGTTTCAACAGGTTTGAACAAAACTATTTGAATCAGTGGAATTACCATGTTCTGTACACTTTAGAATTGTGAGTCTCAAGTTTTCAATTCTATTTTAACCAGGTCAGCTTTGCGAATGGAATTGCAACAATCAAGGGCGGAACTCATGTGAATTATGTAACAGATCAGATCACGAACCATGTGATGAATGTTGTAAATAAGAAGAACAAGAATGCCAACCTCAAAGCCCATAATGTGAAGAATTATCTATGGGTCTTTGTCAATGCTCTTATTGACAACCCTGCATTTGATTCCCAAACAAAGGAAACTCTCACGATTCGACCAAATAGTTTTGGATCTAAATGTGAACTTACACCAGCCTTCTTAAATAAAGGTATGCAACGATATTTCAAATTGTTCAACTATACTAGACCCCGACACTTAATCTTGATTCTTGTATGCTGATTAATTTGCAGTTGCAAAATCTGGAATTGTGGATAGTCTTCTCTCTTGGGCAAATTTTAAACAGAACAAAGACCTGAAGAAAACTGATGGAACTAAAACAGAGAGGGTTCATAATATCAACAAGCTTGAGGATGCTAACCATGCTGGAGGAAAGAATTCTGAGAAGTGTACTTTGATATTGACAGAAGGAGATTCAGCTAAGGCTCTTGCCGTAAGTTTTTATGTTTTGCAATAGTGGTACAATTACTTGATTTGTTTGGCTTCCTTTCTGCAATAGATTAACATAACTTATGCTAAACAGATGGCTGGTCTTGCTGTTGTGGGTAGAGATCATTACGGTGTTTTTCCGTTGAGAGGTAAACTGCTCAATGTAAGAGAAGCTAGTACCACTCAGGTCAGGGATAATGAGGAAATTAAGAATATCAAGAGGATTCTGGGACTGCAACAAGATAAAGAGTATACCAGTCTTAAGTCTTTAAGATATGGCAGTCTGATGATTATGACTGATCAGGTTGAATGCCTTAAACTTCTTTTCTTTTGGTTTTATTCTTGTTTGGATTTCTCTGTGCAACCTTAAAAGTTTATCTTTTTTCTTTCTGATAATTAACAGAACCTTAATTTCTCTGGTTGTATAGGACCATGATGGTTCCCACATCAAGGGACTTCTTATCAACTTCATTCATTCCTTCTGGCCATCGCTGCTTAAAATTCCATCTTTTTTGGTTGAGTTTATAACTCCGATTGTCAAGGTTGGTTTACTTGACTTAGCTAGTTTCTTGGCAACTTCAGTTTAAGTGATACGTTGTTTTTGAAAGACTACTATAACTTGTGTTACTTCTGTACAGGCAACGCACAAAAATGGGAATACCCTTGCATTTTACTCCATGCCCGAGTATGAGGCATGGAAGGAAAGTTTGAGGGGCAATGCAAGTGGCTGGTCCATAAAATATTATAAGGTTTGTTTTCACTTTATGTAAGTAAAGGCATACTAGGTCACTGCAATTGTACCAGGTTTCTGAAGTGTATTCTTATTCTTCTACTTACACTCATGTCCATTTAGGGGTTGGGAACAAGCACGTCTAAAGAAGGAAGGGACTATTTTCAAAATCTTCATCAGCACAAGAAAGATTTTATTTGGATAGATGAGCGTGATGGGGAGGCAATTGAGCTTGCTTTCAGTAAGAAGAAGATAGAAGAGAGGAAGAACTGGCTTCGGCAGTTTGAGGTGGGAAGTTTTGGCAATTTGCATTTGTATTTTTGAAATGATTCTAATTCCAGATCATTTTCATTGAGACGGTTGAACTTTCTGTATTTTCAGCCTGGAGTACATCTTGATCAGAAGGAGAAGCTTATTAAGTACAGCGACTTTGTTCACAAGGAACTTATACAGTTTTCCATGGCAGACCTGCAAAGGTCCATTCCGTCAATGGTTGATGGCTTGAAGCCAGGTCAAAGGAAGATTCTCTTTAGCTCCTTTAAGAGGAACTTTGTGAAGGAAGCAAAAGTTGCCCAGTTTTCTGGTTATGTGTCTGAGCATTCTGCCTACCACCATGGTGAGCAGAGTCTTGCAAGTACTATCATTGGGATGGCACAGGATTTTGTGGGGAGCAATAATATCAATCTTCTTCAGCCAAATGGTCAATTTGGTACTCGTAACTTGGTGAGATTAACCATGCATGCCAAATATTTAAGAGTATGTAAGCTCTTCATGTTGTGTAATTTTTTCCGACATCTTCTATTTACACTTGTATTTTGCTACTTTAGGGAGGCAAAGACCATGCAAGTGCTCGTTATATATATACTCGACTTTCTCCTATTACAAGGTTCCTTTTCTCAAAGGATGATGACAGACTTCTTGACTACTTGAATGAAGATGGGCAATCTATTGAGCCAACTTGGTATTTTTAACTTTTCCCTGTAGAATGAGAATATTGCTTTTAGATTAACAAATGGTGAATGAATATTGCTGAACAATGGTTTGTGTGGTATAGGTACGTGCCAATTATTCCAACGGTGCTTGTTAATGGTAGTGAAGGAATTGGGACAGGGTGGAGCTCTTACATTCCTAATTATAACCCGAGAGACATTGTTGCAAATGTGAGGCGTTTGCTTGATGATGATGCAATGGTGCCAATGGATCCCTGGTACAGAGGATTTACTGGAACTATTGAGAAAACTGTCAAGGAGTCTGGTGTGAGCTACACTGCCTGTGGGATCATAGAGGAAGTCAATGAGACGTCACTCAGGATTTCAGAGCTGCCAATCCGTAGGTGGACTCAAGATTATAAGGAATTCCTCGAGTCTATCTCTGAAGGAAATGATAAAGCCAAGGATCCATTCATTGAGGTAAAGTCACCTAAATTTCTTGACAGTTGCAGTATTTGATTAAAATGTGTTCCAGATGGTTTAGATCCTAATTGAAATTATGCATGCTGCAGGGTTTCACACAGCACAGTGATCACAGTACTGTAGATATCATAGTCCACTTGCGTGAGGAGAAACTGATGGCGGCCAAGCAAGAGGGTTTGCTGAAGAAATTTAAACTGACCACCAGCATAAGCACGAGTAATATGCACCTGTTTGATCGAAAAGGCGTGATAAAGAAATTTGACACTCCAGAACAAAGTATGAGTTTTTCATCACGTTCTTATTCCTTTCTGCTTGTACAATTTATATAACCAGACATTCTGTTTGTTGTTTTTTCTTTCTGCAGTTCTTGAGGACTTTTTTCTCCTAAGGCTTGAATTCTATGAGAAAAGAAAGGTGAGTTCATCTGTGGCCATCAATATACAGGTGTTTATATTGTTGGCCCGACTTACGACTGTTAAGTGTTAACTGGTTTTCTATTATGCATGCAGAAAGTGCTATTGGAAAACCTTGAGTTGGAACTGTTAAAATTGGAGAACAAGGTTAGGTTTATCCTTGGTGTCGTAAATGGAGAGATCATTGTGAGCAATAGAAAGAGAGCTGATCTATTCCTTGAGCTCCAACAGAAAGGTTTCACTCCTTTTCCAAAGAAAACCAAAGCCCTAGAGCCAGAAGTTGCAGGGGCAACCGAAAATACAGAAGATACAGAAGAGAACTCTGAGGCTGCCACTGAAAAGGGAGCACGGATAAGTGACTATGAGTATCTAATATCCATGGCAATTGGGACCTTGACCATTGAGAGGGTTCAGGCCTTATTGGCTGATAGGGATAAGGCCAATGCGGAGGTTGATGAGTTGAGGAAATCAACACCAAGGTCACTGTGGTTGAAGGATCTTGATGCTCTTGAAATGGAACTCGATGTATGTACTAAAATTTGATTCTATTTCACAAATTCTTTCTTCAATTTTCTGCCGGCCTCTGTCTGATATATTATCTTTCATACCAGGAGCTGGAGAAAAGTGAGGCTTTAGCAGAGTTGGCAAAAAAGAAAGCAAGAACCCAAGTGAAAAATGTACCTGCTTCTAAGGGTACTAAACAAGCACCTAAGCCACGGAAAAATACTAAGAAGGCCAACAATGCAGAGGCTTCCAGTTCCGTGATGGAAATAGGTAGCACTCGATTAGTTAAATGCTTTCTTTTAAGATAGCCCATGGATATTATTTCATCATTTCGAATTACATTACTCATAATATTATCTGCTTGCTCGTCAGAGAAAGCTCCTGAGATAGCGAAAAGGAGAGAAGGTCCAAAGAAAGCTCCTGCAGCCAAGAAGGTATGCGCTGCTTTTTTTATATTTTAAGTTCTTTGTTTGAACTTTCTTAATGGAACATAACCACAGTACACACGAAGCTGGAACTTATGTTTTTATGTTTGTTATGCAGCAAGTGAAATCCTCTGTTGTTCTGAGTGATGACGATGACGATGAAGTGCTTGAGCTGAAAGAAAGACTTGCTGCCTATAACCTTGATTCGTCTCCTGAAAATTCGGCAGGTAATGATAACCTTTCACTACTTATACTTATCTAGAGAAATCAGCCTATAACCTTTTCCACCTTTGAGTCCGAGGAAATCAGCATAACTAATGTGTTTCGTCAGTAGGTTGTGGATTAACTTAGTTTTACTGTGACAGGCAAGGATACTGAAGTGCCACAAGAACCAGTCCAGAAGAAAGAAGCTAACAAAAAGGTGGTCATGCAACTAGACAGCGACGATGATTTTGAAGAAGAAATAGCAGCTGCCCCAAAGAGGGGAGGGAAAAAAGCTGCTGGAAAGCCAAGGGCGGCAGCATCAAAACCCCCAGTAGCAGCAAAGAAGAGAGGCGCAGCAGCTAACAAGCAGCAGCCTCAAACTTCATCAGGCCAGAAGCTTTTAACTGACATGTTGAAGCCTGCTGCTGAGAGTTCCAGGGCTTCACCTGAGCCGAAAGTGAGGAAGATGAGGGCATCGCCATTCAACAAGAAAAGCGGTTCTATGATGGGCAGAGTTGGTTTGGCAGATGAGATGATTGAAAGCGAGGACATGGTGGACACTCCTTCCACTGAAGAAAGAAGTGAAGCTCCAGTTGTAGCAAGAGCTAGACCTCAGAGGGTGAATCGCAGGCAGACAAGGTATGTGTTGAGTGATTCCGAGAGTGAGCTGGCTAGTGAAGATTCCGACTTTGATGCAGTTGAAGACATTGACGATGATTAGAGTAGCAGTTACTGTCTTTGCTATGGGAATTCTAGCTCATTTAAGTTGGATGCATTTGCTGCATCTTTCGGATTAAACGTTTAACTGAGATTTGAGGATTTTATTATCGTGCTGATAAGCCGAAGTTGAAGATTTTAGCTTTAAGTTTGATCTGTGAAATGCAACTCATTTTCCGAAAACTTGTTAGAGATGTTCTTGAGAACTTGTCTTGTTCAGAAAGTAAAGCAAAATTTGACTAGAAAAAAGTTGTGGTTTACGCTTTTGCTTTTCTTTTTTGTTGCTTGAATCAACAAGTAATCTAAAGTAGTCATTTTCTCGTAACTGTTGATGACCATATGATTGTTTTAGTATTCACACTCTACTCTTGCTTAATTTCCCAACTCATTTGTACTCAAATTATGGAGAGAATTTGCCTTATAAGCGGTTTATACTCTCATCAGGTCACATCTCCATATCCTCGTTGTGTGACTTGATGAGTGATAAACAAACAACGGTGTATATACTCGGGAGACATTGGTCAGAAACAAGAATGAGTACACCTGAGGTTATCTGCGACACTTTACGGACGATTGAGTTTTAGATGTTGTCTAGTGTTTGCACAAATTGATGCGTGGTTTATGAGCATTTACCAATATTGGGTGATTGTGTCCTCTGCATTGGTTTTGCGTACTGATTAACATCTTACGACAATATCTTGAATTAATAACGCATACAATCAATAGCACGCATATAATTACACATTTTTGAAATATTACCACGGGTGACGTACCATTTTGCTTTTAACAAAATTAAGGAATCACAATCCTGGAATATGGCCAAAAGGAAAAAAAGAAAAAGGGATCGAATGGTTTGGTTTTGATGAGTTGTACGGGGCATTGACTCACTCTCTGTCTGTGTCCCACGCTCATTCGGCTTTTCGTTCTTTGTTTCTTGTAGGACATTGGAGCAAGCAATGGAGAAAGAGCTTTACTCTAATCAACCAAACAATTTTGTTGCTTAAAAGAACGGCTCTCTGTGTTTTGTTTAGTGGCATGGCATGCAAGATTGATATATTAAAATTGGAGTTGATTCGTGTTACCATTTTTTTTTTTTACACAATTTTTAACATATTTTTTTGAGCTCACTAAGTAATATATTTTAACTATCCAAATCGTAATTCTTTTAGAACATCATTCATACATCGTCTTTGCAAAAAATAAGACAAATTTAAAACCATTAAAACATTCATTTGTAGTGAAAAAAATTGACGAATACAATTCTACTAAGAAACCCTAAACCCTTAATTCAATAGTTATATAGTTTCAGATTTGAGTGTTTTTTGGTAGACATGATATTTGAATGAAAAATCTAATAAATAGACGGTTTAGATAATTTAAAATACATTATAAAATGAACCGCATAAAAACTTGTATAGAAAAAGTAACGTCACCAATCTGTGTCAATTAAAATTTGGCTAAAATCGTTTTCAACTGCTGCACAATAACGTTAGAAACTATTTTGCATGTTGACTATCCTCCACCTAAACAAATGTTTTAAATTTAAAGAAATAAGGACTACTCACTATGTCATTCAAAATTATTATATTGTTGTGGAATTTATTTAAGAAATTTTAACGAAACATTCCCGGTATTGTTCTCATAAATTATGTAATTTCCAACACTCCATCTGCAAGACTCAAATCAATGAAGCAATTCCAAAATTTTCATTGCTTGAAAGAATGGCTATTGTTTTTAGGAACAAAAGAAGAAGAAAGAAATGGCTATTGTTTCGATTTTATGTAAATCTATATATATAAAAAATTGTTATTAGCACTTCAAATTCTCATTCGGCTCTCTAAATCTTGAACAAGTCACCTGTAGAATTTCACTTGTGGCTCTCCTCACTCAAGTTCAAGCTCTCCCACCTTCTCTATTTCCCCTCATAACCTCACCTAACCATCTAAATCTTACCGTCTTCTTTTTATTATTAGCCAAAATAAAAGTTTAATTTTGGAAAAAAATACACCCGTACTTCAATCAATAAAGAGGAGAAAAACTTTGATATGATAGTTCAACTACTTTCTCAAAAGAATGAGTTTCTCTATTCTCTATATTTTGTATTATTGTATTCTATGATTAACATGACTTACCGAAGTTTTCCTTTAAGAAGAGTTAATTTGTTTGATTCATATAAATGATTAAATACTTTCCAAATCGAATGATTTTTTTCTTCGTAATGAATGTCTCGTTCATTTTAAAGAAAATTAGCCTCTTACCACATACTACGTATGTGATAATTGACTTTTTTATTGTTATTATAATTTTATTGATTTTAGATATTATTGTTCTTTTATTAAAATGAATTTTGAGAAATAACGAATGTAATAACCTAGGGGTGGGTTCAAAAACCTGAAAACAGAAAAAAATCAGACCAAATACACGAACCGAAAACCGAAATAAAACCAAACTAAATCTTATTGGTTTGGTTTTAGTTTTGGAGATTTGAAAACCGAACCGAACCGAATTCATGTACACTTTATGAATGTATGCCCATCATGTTTTTTTTTGTGAAACTTTGTTGCTAAGTTTGAAACTAAGCCTAGGACTTTTTCAAGGAGCATACTTGATTTAATTAGAGAGGACATTTCATTGGTTATGGAGGAAAGTTTTGGAAGACTTTGGAACTTGGAAGAGCTTCTCTATTTGTTTGTTTTTGAATGGATATGGTGATAATTTTTCTTTGTAATTGAGGTTGTTGATAGAATATAATTGGTTTATATGATCTTGTATATTTACAACTATCTTCCCACTTTCTTCATTTTCTTATTATTAGTCTACTAAGGCAAACCTCTTTTCCAAATTTCATATAAAAAGATAAAGTTTTATAAATTAAAAAAAAAATTGAAACCGAACTGAACAAACCAAATCGAACCGAAAAAACAAAAAAAAATTGAACTGAAGTTTTGGTTCGGTTTCAATTTTGACAAAAAATTGAACCAAATGAAACTGAACCTACTTCTATAATAACCTACAGTTTCATAGCGTTGATTTTTTTGAAATTCTATTGGTAGAAAGATAATTTGATGCCATAAAAGTTTTACGCATCGAATGTTAATCTTCTAATCCATCAAACCTCCTAACATGCCCGTGTGCACACCCTTTGGTACACAAATTGTCAAAATGTTAGACAAAATTTTTCATCCAATTATATTATAACGCTTAATGTACTGTTACTTGGTCACGAAGCATTGAAAAATCTGACGCTGCCAACGAAGGGAGTCAAGCGACACATTCTTCAGTCTTCAATGCGTTTCCACGCACTTTGCGTATCCAACTCTCTCTCTCCTGTCTCTCTTTCTCTCTCCTCATCAGTAGTTAAAGCTGCGTTGACTCAACCAAACCACAGTTTGAAATCCACACCAACACCCACCCCCATTTTCCCCTCTTCCAATTTTACCCCTCCCCCTCTTCCCAAACCTTCCTTCCTTCGCCGGCTATCCCCTCTCTCTGCAACCCCATCTCACTTTCCAAACAGCTTCCGTCGAAATCCCCGTCAATTCGACCTTCCTTATGGGCAAAAGCCCTCACCCCTTCAGCTCACATACAACATCGTAGCCGGTAGCTCTTCAATATTTTTTTTTTTTCTGATTTAATTTTTAATTTGGGGGAGAAATGAAGAGGTTGAGATCCAGCGACGATCTCGATTCCTTCAGTAAGGATCCGAATCCTAACCCGAACCCGAGCTCCAACCCCGGCCGGACCTCCTCCTCCTCTTCGCACCGGAGCTTCTACTACAAGCCAGATACTGTGCGCAAGGGTTTGCTCTCTTCGTCCTCCTCCGCATCTTCTAAAGGGCCGGCTCGCTCCTACGATGATCGGGAACCGGCCGGCTCCGGCGGCGGGTCCAGAACTGTCCGGAAGAGGACGGAGCACGAGTTCGACGGTTTCGATAGGAGGAAGGGGACCGATCGGTACAACAGAGATGGCGGAGGGTACGATCGTAATTTGATGCACCGGTCCGAGAGCTTCTCCGCGTCGAGGAGGTCGCCGGCGGAGTTTCCGAAAGGGTTTCGATCGGAGCGGGACAGGTCCAGGCGCGAAGGCAGCGGGAGCGGAGCGTTGTCGTGGCGTAGGTTCGGGAAGGAGTTCGAGGAGAGAGGAGGAGGGAAGGGGTTGAGGGACGTGAGGTCGCCGACGTGGTCGAATTCGAGGGATTCGGGGAGCGAGCAGTCTAGGGTTAGGTCTCCGGTGAGGAGGTTTAGGGATGGGAAGGGGTCGAAATCGGAGTCGAAGTCCAAGTCTCCGACTTGGTCCAAGGACTCGGTGGGGAGTGAGCAGTCGAAGAGTGTTGAGGTGAGGAAGAAGGAGACGGAGGCGGAGGCTGAAGAGATTCAGGGTGAGCAGCCAAAGAGTGTTGAGGTGAGGAAGAGAGAGACGGAGACGGAGACGGAGGAGGTTCCGGTGGAGCGGCCAAAGAGTGTTGAGGTGAGGAAGAGGGAGACGGAGACGGAGACGGAGACAGAGGAGGTTCAGGCTGAGAAGGGGAGTAGGAGTAGTAGTGAAATGGAGGAGGGTAGAGCTTGACCCTGAAGCTGGAGCTGGTGGTGGAGGTGAGCCCCAATTGGGCCTTGAAGGCGGAGCTGAAACGGAAGAAGCACAGATCCGAAGCGCTGTCTTTGGTTACAGATACAGATAAGGTTGAGGAGAAAGCTGAGACTATGGATAAACAAGAGGCTAGGGAGGAGAAAGGCGAGTCCTCGGATAAACAAGAGGTGAAAGATGAAAATAAAGGGAGTGTGTGTGAAAGGCAAGATGAGGAGGAGGAGAAGAAAGATGATGACTTACCAAATAGCGAGATCGATATGATTGATCAAAGCGGGAATGTGGAAGCTCGTGAAGATGAGGGAAAAGGGAGTTTCAGGGAAGGTGATGAAGAAGTGGTCGTGGAGATTCCGAAGGAATTGGAAAAGGAACCAAAGCAAGATAAGGGAATAGACCTTGAAGTGAAGGCGGAGGATGATGACGACGAAATGACAGAGTCAGATAAGGTGGCAACCGAGGATGAGGAGGATAATGAAGTGGTTAAGCTGAATACGGTGGATATGAGTATGAGTTTGAGTCAGAATTTTAAGGATAAAGGTAAAAGCGTGGCCGTGGCACCAGCCGATCTGGTGGATTCAGCTGAAGATGGTCGGTGGGACTGGCAGAGAATCCAGAGAGCTGCTCACTGGCATGGAAAATGATATGGAAGGACCCAGCAGTAGGGGTTTCGAGTTGTTTTCAAGCTCTCCGGTTAGGAGACAGGAGAAGGCTGATCAATCTGGTGCTAGTATGAAGGATGAGAAGCTGGCACTTGAGCCTCTTGATCTTTCTCTTAGCTTGCCTAACGTTTTGTTACCCATTGGTGGCGCAGCTCCTGGTTCTCCTGATCAATCAATGAGTGTTCAGTCTCTAAGTAATACTTTTCGTACTAACTCTGATGGATTTACTCAGTCAGTATCCTTTTCAGGCTCGCAGTCGTTTTATCACAACCCTAGCTGTTCGCTAACCACCCAGAATTCGATGGACTTTGAACAGTCCGTTAAAAGTCGTCCCCTTTTCCAGGGAATTGATTGGCAGGCACTCGCTCAGAGTGAGGCTAAGGGTAAAGAAGTTCCTTGGCAAGCACTCACTCAGAATGATACTAAGAGTAAAGAAGTCCCTTTGTATCAAAGAATCTTGATGAATGGAAACGGGTCTCAACAACAACAGTCTCAAGCATCGCAAGGCATTCCAAATGGTCAGTTGGGCCAAGGGCAACAACATCTTAGACATCCTGAAGGGAGCCCTAAAGTGGCGAATGGAATGGAAAGGCAGCTGAGCTTCCACAAGCAATTGTCAGGAGGACAGGCAAGGAACCATGAGGATGTTAGATCACCTTCAAATAGCGTTGGATCTCATGAAATGGGATCAAACTATAGTTTTGACAGGAAACGACTAATGAGAGAGAAAAGTAGTGGTAGTTTATATAGGACTAGCAGTCAGAAGGAGCAAGAGCAGTTTCTCATTGGTGGAGCTGATTTTGTGGAGACAATCGTTGCGAGGATTGTCTCCGATCCCATACATGTAATGGCTAGAAAGTTTCATGAGATGACAGGACAATCCGCTTCATGTGTGAAGGAGACCATTCGCGATATGATGTTAAATATGGATAAGCGCATGCAACTATTTGCATTCCAGAAGGCACTGCAGAGCAGGTCTGATATAACCATGGAGATGCTACTAAAGGCTCATCGTGCGCAACTGGAAATCTTGGTTGCTCTGAAGACTGCTCTACCGAATTATCTCCAGCCAGAGAATGGTGTATCATCTTCTGAGTTAGCTGAAATTTTTCTGAACTCAAGATGCAGAAATCCTTCTTGTCGGAGTTCTGTGCCTGTGGATGAATGTGATTGCAAAGTTTGTTCGCAAAAGAGTGGTTTTTGCAGTACATGTATGTGTCTTGTGTGCTCAAAGTTTGACATGGCCTCGAATACATGTAGTTGGATTGGGTGTGATGTTTGTCTCCATTGGTGCCATGCGGATTGTGCATTGCGGGAATCTTATATTAGAAATGGACGCAGTGCTACTGGATCCCAAGGGACGACCGAGATGCAGTTTCATTGTGTGGCCTGCGATCATCCTTCTGAGATGTTTGGCTTTGTGAAGGAGGTTTTTCAGAATTTCGCAAAGGATTGGACAATGGAAAATCTTGCTAGGGAACTTGAATACGTTAAGAGAATATTTGGTGTCAGCAAGGACATGAGAGGGAGAAGACTTTATGAAATTGCTGATCAATCACTGGCAAGACTGGTAAACAAGTCTGACCTTCCGGAGGTTTACAGTTATGTCATGGCTTTTCTCGCGGGTAAGTTATTTGTTTTATCCGAAACATTTTAATGTTTTGTTCTTACGATACTTTTTGGGGTTATAATCTGCATTGTCATAATATCATTGTTTAGAATCATACCTTTTTTTTTTTTTTCTAATGAACATTCAATACAATATATTTTCTATCTGCCATATATTTGTTTTTAGTAAATAGGGTGTTTCATGCTATTGAGGGTATAAAAGAACAGTCATTTACATAGTTTTTCTAAGATGACTTACCTTGCTTCTGTTGGATTTTTCTTCGGGAAAATGGCTTTGTTATATTTTGCCTCGTGAAATCCACAGATACTTCATTTCTCCATGGTTTACAAGATATCGATGTTACATATAGAGATTTGGATACTTGTGAATTGCTGTTAATAAAAGTTTTTTAAGTTGTGTACTTTGTTTTGACATGTATGGAAACCTTTTGAAATGTTGACGCTACTTAATGTGTTTGGCCTGCTTGAAGCTTCTTTTTTTTATTCTGGGTTCGGGGGATTCAGTTTGATGGCTGGCCTAAAAGCGTCTGTATCGGTGTCTCTGAACTGCTTTTTTATGCTTATGTGAGAATATTAAGCGGAAAGAATAGTATCGAGTATTACCGAGTATATAGCACGAGTACACAATGCCGAAGCAGAAACTCATGGCTTTGTTGAATCTCAAAGCTGTGCCTTTTTGCTCCGTGCAGTAATCCTGTGTTTAGTTAAATGGAAACTGTAAGATTGCTAGTAAGTCCTTTCACTTTTTGTTGCAGACGCTGACAGTTCCAAGCTAGGGAAAACACCCTGTTTTATCGACGAAGGATCATAGTAAAGTTAGCAATGGGATTGCTGGGCCAAGCCAGGAACCCGCATGGCTGAAATCTGTATATACAGAGAAGTCCTCTAAGTTGGAGACTGCAGCAAACATTCATCCTAGCTTTAACTACGATCAGCATGATAAACGCCTATTGGAGATGGAGTTTCACACCAGTGCCCAAAAAGAACCTCTTTTCGATGAGCTGGAGAGCATTGTGAGGATCAAGCAGGCTGAAGCGAAAATGTTCCAAACACGAGCAGATGACGCAAGAAGGGATGCCGAGGGACTTAAACGCATAGCGATGGCAAAGAATGAAAAAATTGAAGAGGAATATAGGAGCAGAATAACAAAGCTGCGCTTGGTCGAGGCAGAGGAAATGCGCAACAAGAAAGTCGAAGAAGTACAAGCTCTAGATCGAGCATATCGTGAATACTCCACCATGAAGATGAGAATGGAAGCAGATATAAAGGATCTCTTGCTAAAGATGGAAGCGACGAAGCGGAACCATTCCTTGTGATTGGCAGACGAAGAGGAGTTCCGATAGGGTTTTCGATGTGGCGGGTAACCGTAACCTTGGGCGTGCTGATAGTTTTATGTTGTACCTTGTAATGTAGTGTTTTTATAGCTCCAATTAGGTTATGTTCTTCAGAGTTTCTGTTGAATTTGTTTCATGAACCACTAACCAGAATCTGTACAGAGAGATTGCCTTGTCTCTTTTATTTTGGTATGAAGCAGTGTTCCTATTTATGATTTACGGAACCAAGTTTCGTTGTAGGGTAGTGATTTTTACTCTCGTTTTCTCCTTCTACACTCTTCCTTTGCTTTTGCTCGTTGATTGATTTTCTTTTGATTGATTCGGTACATTGACTAGCAGAAAAGGTGAGTGCGAAAATTACTTGTTTTTGTTTTGTATACGGCATAGGAACCACAAACGGCATGTCGTATGGGGATGAGGTTGTGCTGCTATTAAACAACGAAGTGGAAGGAGGGAGGGTTTGACTCGTCGTTGTGCCTTGGACGCCGAGCCATTGATTACTTTAATTGACTATTTTGACATTGTACGGTGTGGATTGTGTTGGGTTATAATCTCGAGGGTGAAGATTCAGTTTTGGATTTTAGGTTGTGGGGTCACAGTTGGAGGTGGGCCCCAAAGATTAAAGAAAGGTGGTGAAAGGGAATGAGAGATTAGCGGAGACGTAGGGGATAAGAAGACCATAAACGTCAACGCAACGGATGCTGAACTTTGAAATTTGGATTTTGTTTCTTTCCATTTTATTATTTTTTAACAATATTTTTGACAATGTATGTTCAAATTCCGTCAATAATTAATATAATATCAAATGTAAGAAAATCTGTCGTTTAATAAAAAAATATTACATTCACGTTTTGAGATTTTTATTTATTTTACATTCATCGCCTTATGGACGAAATTACTCTTGTAGGTAATTATTTTAAAACTGAAAATGAAAACTTCATAAATAAATAAAATTAAAAAAAAATTACAATGAAACATTAGATTGAACTTAAACAAATGAAAACTTCAAGGGTGTTTAATGTAATGTTTCAAACTTATAAAGATTTTGTAAAAAATGATAAACTTCAGAAGTGTTAGTGTAATTAACCCTTTTTGAATTTAGAATCATTCCTTTTCTAAAACATGGAATAATGGATGGTAATGTAACGAAGAGATTCCGGATATATTTTATATTTAAATGCTACATTTTAAGTTATAACTTCCATTATTTCCTATTTTGTCGGTAAATTTGAAAGAACACCATGACCATTTTGAGTTGGAGTCAAAACCTTGTGTATGTTGTGCGTCTGGCCGAAAGACAATGGTTATTTCAGCAATAATTGCACCCCAACACCAAAAGTAAAAGGAAGTGGAGGGGGAGAAAAGACTAAGAAGGATTGCCAAGGGCTCCACAACCCAAAGACAAGATGACTTTCTTAGTTTTTCTCTCTAAATGGCTAAAGTTTTTTTTTTTTTTCATCACTTCATGTAGGTCCCATGAGTTACATGGCCTACGAATGATTTTTGCACTCTCTTTTCACCTTCCAGACATCCGTTTATTTAACATTTAAATTATAAATATTGAAAAAAAATCTAAAGATATAATTATGATGAGAAAAAGAGAATGCAAAAATCCCCAATTTCATAATTACAAAAGTACAAAATTCCTCATGAAAGATATTTCTCACATGTATAATGTATTGGAGAGAAAAAACCAAAAAACCAAAAGATATTTTCTTCCTAAAATACATTGGCCAATGAGGGGATGATTGGGTTTTCTTTCCATGGTCAAACACCAGACTTCCCCTCCCTTCTCCACTCAAACCATCCAAATGGAGAAACCAATCTTGCTCAATTCCACCTCCCAACCACCCTTCCTAATTACCCAAAATCTCTTCACTTTCCAAATCCCATCATCTGCCCCTTCATTTGGCAGTCAATCTTCCCAGATCAAAAGCAGAAGCAGAAGCAGCCCAGTTCTTGTGTCTTGCCGAGGCCATGAGCCAACAGAGAAACAAGAGAAGCAAGAAAAAAAGCAGCAGCCAATGATGTTGCTGGGATTTGAGAAGTTGGGGAAGAATTTGAAGGAGAATTTGAGCCCAAAGCAGAAGGGTGATTGGAAGGATCTGATGCTGATGAGCTTGTCATTTGCTGTTTATGTGTATATTTCTCAGAGGATTGTCTGTGCCTACTGTGCTTGGACTTCCATGGCCCCCAACCATCCTTGGTAAAAAATGGAGGGGGTAAAAGTTGGTGTTTTTAGTGGGTTTGTTGCTGATTTGGGTGAAATTCTAAATTCTAAATTTTAGACCAAACCCTGATTGTATCCTTGTAATTGCATATTAGAAAATGAAGAAATGTTGTTTTTACCTTTTGGATTATTATTATTATTTTAGTTTATGTAGCAAATAATAATGATTGCAAAAATGGTTTCCAGAATTTCAGTCTAATTATCAGATGTTATGGAATTAGCCTGAAGGCCAGCAGCCAAATGGAAGCAAGTACTCTGAGAGGCTCTTTATTTTTTGAGAGATTTTTTAATGTATCCGGGAACATAGACGCCATATATTATTATATAGATAGAGCAAAGTTTTTTAAAATATTATTTTATTTGTACAAGGACATATGACGAAGGTGTCTGTGTTCAAACATTCTGAAAAGTCCTATTTTTTTTATCTTTTTTCGAAGTTCTTTAATGATCTCATCTTGCAACTTTCCCTTGGAGTCGAAATCTCATATCCTAGGTCACTTATTACTACGGTATAATTGTATTCTTTTTCACTTATAAGGGAAATGTTTTAAGTTCAATTTTCGTCAAAGACGAATTTGAATTACATTATTTCTAGCCTATTGTGGGGCTAAGCCCACCCCATCTTCTCAATGTAAATAATATCATTAGTTCAAAAAAGAAAAAAAAATCTCATACCCCAAGTACTAGAATTGATGTTTTTTCACGAGTATGATTACTGACTTTGATTGGACTCTGCCTATATTTTCGTTTCTAAAAATTATTAAACTATTAAACCGCAGAATAAGCGGAGAAATCAAATTCCTCTTTTTCCACCCCCATTCCACTAGTAACATAGATGCCATATATTATTATATAGATAGAGCAAAGTTTTTTAAAATATCATTTCATTTGTACAAGGACATATGACGAAGGTATCCGTGTTCAGACACTCTGAAAAGTCCTCCTATTTTTTTTTTATCTTTTTCAGAGTTCTTTAATGATCTCATCTTGCAGCTTTTTCTTGGAGTCGAAATCTCATATCCCAAGTCACTTAGTACTATCGTATAATTGTATTATTTTTTACTTATAAGTGAAATGTTTTAAGTTACAAATTTGAATTACGTTATTGCTAGCCTATTGTGGGGCTAAACTCACCCCATCTTCTCAATGTAGATAATATCATTAGTTCACAAAAGAAAAAAAATCTTAGACCCCAAGTACTGGAATTGACGATTTTTCACGAGTATGATAACTGACCTTGATTGGACTCCACCTATATTTTCGTTTCTAAAAATTATTAAACTATTAAACCGTGGAATAAGTGGAGAAATCAAATTCCCCTTTTTCCACCCCCATTCCACTTGGTAAATATATCATCAGTGTACGAAATATTTTGTCGGAAGAAGTCTCAAATTCAAATTTTGTTTCTTCAATTAATTGAAGAAGATTATACAAGACATTCTTTGTCATCCCTTTCCCCACAATTTAAGGCTAAAACCCTTAAACTATGGGGACAAGGGAAGTCATAAATTGGGATCCATTTGGATTGAGGAAATATTCAAACCTCAATCCAATTTTTTATTTTTTTTTAAACGATATTTTCTACACTTAAAGGAATCGAGGAGTGGGAAATCTTAAACCAATATTTTTATGATTTCATAAATTTCAATTTCATGCGCCAAATTTCAAATCCTTGTGTTTAAAATCACTCTCATCCATATAGACCACTAAACTTGTAACTAAAGAAACCAAGTTCTCCAGCCAAAGATACACTAAACAAACAAGAAGCAATACTTCAGAGTAACAAATAGACTCAATTTGCACACCATCTAAGTATTATGGTGGCAACCGAAATTTCACAACCGAAACTCAGTAATCAAACCTTTGTCTAACATTAGAACAGTTCAATTTGATCAATGTATCTTCGTTCCTGGCTAAAAATGTTCGCATCTAAACTCCCCTGCCACAACGTAAACGAGTGAACCTCAGGGTCAGAATCATAAGCTCTGTTTACCAGAATAGGTTCAGTACATGAATTTCCTCATTTGTCATACAATTCAAGAGCTTAAGATCTTTGACTAATCAGCTTTACGCCTTTCGCGCCTGAAGAGATGATAAAACAATGACAACATCCAGTGCCAAAAGATGATCAGATGATAGAACAATGACAACAGCCAGTGCCAAAAGATGATCAACCGATTATCCCGTTTGGGTTTGGGTTTAGGTTCTGGGGTTGGTCCGAAAATTCCCTTGTAGAGTTCTTTTTGTTTCTGGTAAACAGCCTTGTCATGTTCAGCAAGCAAACCTAACTCTCTTGCAATAGCTTTTTCTTGAGGTGCAAATTTGCGCGCCTTTAGAAAGTCTTCCTGCGCAGCATCTGTCTGCCTAAGCTCTGCTCTGGCTTTTCCTCGCCTAAATAGCGCTTTGACGTTGTTTTCATCCTCTGCCAGTACCTGTGAGCATTCATCCAATAGCAGTTTAACACAGTTGCTTTGACAATTTAAGGGTATTCATGAAAAAGTAAATATCTGCCGACTCCAAGCAATGTAGAAAAATCAATCAACAGATGCAGTTGCATTGACAATTTTAAGTTATCACAGCCATATAGTTTGAAGTTTGAACAAAAGGAGGAAGCATGGACAGTAACATACTGGAGATCATAAGATTCGTATAGGACCCAAAATTCGATTATTGAACGAAGATTGGTGCTAGTGAGTAGTGAACCTACAAATTTTCACTGGTCCATACTAAGGGCATTTTCATTTCTATGGCAATCCAAAATGGCAGGTTAGAGTGAATGCAGATTCGAACTTTACAGATGCAGTTATGCTCCCAAATAAGCCTACAAATCCAACTTTCTAGTATCTAATGATGAATAGCACAATCGCCTGAACACATGAAATTAGATGACTTTCTTGTGATAGCATTACACTTACAATGCTGCACTGTCCAATGGCTTCTTCATAGCGCTTGAGCTTTATAAAACACGCTGCCATGTTAAGGTGGCATGGATTTTTAACAGCCAAAGCCATCTCCCGGTACTTCCCAAACAACTGGAACATGAAGTCATCACCCATATATGCTATGGCCTGAGAAAACCCCCCAGAATCTTGTCAGAAAGGAAATATAGAAAAGAGACTGTGCAACTCAAAAGCTCATCAGCCATAAATAAAATATGTAAGAATTACAAGTGCGTAACCATTTCATACTGTGGCATTGCCTCCTCTAGTTTTTCCTCTTTAAATAAAGCATTTCCATGCATCTTTCTTCTCTCTGCTGCTCCAATCCTTTCCTCCAAGGTCATGTCACTAAGAGCTTTCCCCTATGAAAGGCAGAACCCACAGATATATATATATATATATATATATGTATATATGTTACTATATTACTGAAGCAACTCCCTGAAAAAGAGAATCTGAAACTTCCATTGGTGACTACTTGGGAAGACATTTGAGAACAAGTGAGTAACTTACTTCTCTGGTTTCATCAAATCCAATAAGCTCAACTTCATATGATATATCAGCCAATGGTGGAACATTTGGAAAACAAAAGCTCCCTTCTTTCCCATACCCTAACTCCCAGCCTACGTGTAATAGGGCACGCTCTCCAGACTTCATGCTGGACACCCCAATAGCCAAGCCAGTCATTTCTTTTTCCTCTGTCGCAGTAAACAAAAATATACTACTAATAAGAAGTCCATTGTATTTAATACAGCTACATAATGCTTAAATGCTTTTGGACCCAAAGCATCTGAAATGACAAGTAATTACAGAGAACAAATGCAATAAAGAAATCAGAAAACTAATTGCAGACTGAAGAAGGAGCATGCCAGTACTCGTTTGCATACATTTTGTATATATCAACAGTAACATACTACTCGGCAAGGCTAATACCTTTTCCTAAAATCATTTCAAGCGGTCGTTGTTCATCCCATGTGTCTTCAAACTTGTGTCCCGTGCTTTCAGTCCATGCCCTGTGGTGCACTATCACACATATGCCAATCACTCAGTGACTGAAAAAAACCAGAGTAAAAAACTTCACTACAAGACCTGTCTACATGTATCTTAGGCATGCCTATACGCATGCACAATTAGTTCTATACGCATACACAACTCTGTGAGCGTGGATGTTGCGCGTGTCTGTTTGCAGGTCACAAGCTCATTCATGTCTTACTCCCATACGAACATTTTACATGCACACATAACAATTATTGGATTTTCAACTAATGTACACAGCACTACCAAAACGCAAACAATACCTACTACTATCCAAACATTACGATATTAGAAATACAAGAACAAGCAACCACTTGAGACTTACAGAAGCATGTTGAATACTTGGATGGTCTTTGACCATGACCTTCCTTAATGATTTGCTTTGTGACTTTCTCGTGAAGAATTTCCACCTTAGAATCAACTTTTGGGGGGCCATTACCATCTTGAGAAGGTTCGCCATGAACGAAGGTAGCATCTTCTGTTACACCATCTTGACCTACAAAGAAGATGAAATGATGAGTAGCAGTCTATATTGTGATGGCCCTTTCCGCGGCTCACATGGATTGCAATACCCTATTGGAATTATAGTGCCCCATAACCATAACATATGATTATTTGGAAATCTAATTCACGCATGAGCGGAGGGGGAATGACAATCTTCTTCTTCCCCCTGCACATTATACAGGGTCTATATAGCTGCCACCCCCACTTATGCTACATGAGTTTTGGAACACAAGAATTCTGAGTTACTCAACATAAAAGCAGGGAGGAATGATGAATCAGTGTACTGTACTGGAAGCGGTAGTCATAATGTCCAACTGTTGCGTTCCTTCTCGATATACAAATTATTTCCAAAATCTTATCAATTAGTAAATAAAAACAATAAGTTTCCGCCTTGATAATGATCTATAGAAGAATTGTTCTTGAAGAAACTAGGTAGAAAAGGATAAGAAAACGTCTTTTCATTCAGTCCAACTCAATCACTCAAAAACCAGCTTATCAGGTTAATTTGACATATATTTCAACCTAAAACCCTACAAAGAGCAGTTCCACTCATTAGGGCTAGTGAATAGTAATTGTCCAAGTGCATCTCCACCTTGTAAATGAACTGCCTAGGCAAGTGGCATTAAAAAACAATGGGGCAATACCACGCCACAGGCAATTGGTGCTAATAAAAAGATAATATTATGTTTAATTTCGGATTTGATTTTTAATCAATCTCGTTGTATCACGTGTCATTATCCGAAATTACAATTTTTGTGGATAGAGTTTCGATTAGATTTTTAACCAATCCCGCTCCAAACTTAAATTACCTTTGTGACTAATTTCTTCCAAACATTTTATATATTCACTCTTGAAAGAACTCCCTTTTGTAGCTCTTTCATTCGCAGCTTTCTTACCAAGAGGCCTAAGTGAATGATGGGTCGGTTCTGACACTTCATGTGGGTCACCTTCTTGACCAGACGAGTCGTCTTTTGGTGTAGAGTGCAAAGGGGTGTCATTTATGACAACTGGTAGACCATTTCCCACAATTTTGTATGTGGGGCAACCTTTGACAACATTCCAACATTCATGACGGGTGAATGACTTGTTCTTGTTGGCCGCATTGTACCAAACTTGTGCTTGAAGTGTCTACAAAAAATATGGGCAGAAAAAGAAAAAATTCAATTCAAACTAAATATGACAATTTGGGTGTAATAATAAAATTAAATAAATAAAATATTATTACGTCATTCGATAAATTTTCGCCACTTCGAAGATTATCTTGAGCTTGTTTGAGGGCGTTTCTCCAACTAATGAACTCTTTGTTGAGTTTTTTCCACCGGCTTGTTAGAGATTGCTCCGTTCTTTTATTGCCAAGCTTCACGCAAAAAGCAGTATGAACTTTCTTCCAAAGTTGAGGCAACTTCTGCTCATTACCTGTAATCGGATCATGAGAAATTCGAACCCAGCATTCACACAATGTAACATCTTCAATGATGGACCAATTCGAGCCTGCATCATTAGCCATTTTTTTGAAACAAAAGTTTTTGGAAACTTTGAAAGAAAAATTGGTTGATTTAGAAAGATTGAGATGTGGTGTAGGGTGGAGGAGGATAGTTGGGTATTTTATAGGAAAGATTTTAAACTTTGTTTTTGCATTTTTCTCTATTTGTATTTTTATTTTTTTAATTTGTTTCTAACTGAATTAATATTGACCGTTGGATATTTTTTTTTTTTTTTTTTTTTTTTTTTGCAATCCAACAGCCTAAGCACAATGGCTACCTGCCATTTTTTCAAATATTTTTTTAAAAAATTTTTAAGTGTAAAAAGGAGTAATTAATGAGGACCGTTAGATGATAGAGCCGTTAGAAATTTAGCGTCCCGTGTTGTGCCACGTTTAATAGCCGTTGGATTAGAATTCAATTTTCTGGCAATTAAATAAAGGAGCAGTGTGTGTTGTTGGAAAGTGCCTTTTTTTGGCTTAAATGCAGTTTTTGAAGCCCAATATAATCTCATATGGGTTCGTGGCCTTCTGGTGAAGTGTTCAGAATAGCTCAAGCTTTAAATCCAGCTATTTTGGGCCAGTTTTGGAGCTGATATGGGTCCAAAACGTGGCTGTGAAGGATTTTGGGCGAATTTTCAAGTTGATTTAGGATTATGTTTCCTAATTTATTTAGTTTCCTTGTCTTATTCTAAGACCTTTGACTAGGAGGATTTAATTAGAGTAGTATAAATAAGTTTTTTTTTGGCCAGCCCTAGTTTTCTTTTTATGCAATTTTTGGAGAAAAGATTTGGGGCAAAGCTTAGAGATTTCAAGACTTATACTTTCAAGGTGTTTTCATTCTTTTTCTATTTCAATAAAGACTTTATGATTTTTATTATGAATATGCGTAAATAATTCTTTTTGCTAGGGTGAAGCCATGATTCTTAGCAAGAATATGTAATCTTTTTTTAATTTGCTTATGAATTTATGCATGCAGTTTTGAGTTGTTAATCACCGGTTAAAACTATCTAATTGTCTTAGTGATTTGCGACCATTAGGATATTTAGAAAAGTAATTTGATGCAATTTTAGCGGAGGGTTGTCCCTAAATTGACTAAGGCTTCTTGTGGTTAATATGTGTAACTTCTTAGGATGGACGACACGTCTTAAGTGTTATATGGTTGTTCAAAGAGTTTTCACAAAACTTAATGAGTCTTGCATGTTCACATTCGATCTGGACACCACGGATGGGTTGCATGTTAAATATACGTTCTATGTTAGAGTTTCCAAGTAGGATATACTCTAAGAAAACTTAACCTTCAAAATATGCATGTGTAATTTATAAGTAATTAGAATAACTACATATGATTGTTAGGGTGATGGCGAAACCCTAGTACTTTCTCATTTTGAATTCTAAAATATGTTTCTTTCTCCTTCTTTAAAGTTGCAGTTTTTAAGTAATCCTTTTGATTAAATTTTCTTTTCTCAATTTAGGTCATTAAATCACCTTTTTCAAAAAAAAAAAATTTTAATTAATTAGTTGAGAATTTTATTTTGCTTTAATCTTTTTAAATTAATCCCTGTTGAGAACGACCTTATTTGAGCCAATTATACTACAATAATCTTGTTTTTCTTGCAAGTGTTTTAGATGTTTTTAACCCTTTTTGCGCAAGTGGTAAAAATCCTATCAATAAGTTATGTTGGAAGGACCATTACTACAATTGGGATCCCTCAACTTATCAAAACGTGTAGCTATGGTCATTTTTGTCAACTTCGTTAGAATTTTGTCAAAATAAGTTATGTTTGAAGGACCATTGCTACAATTGGGTTAAAGTTGTGGGACCATTTCTCTAGTTGGATTAAAGTTGAGGGATCAATGGTAATAATTTTTTAGTTGAAGGACCATAGTTGCATATTTTGATGAGTTGATGAATTAATGATAATGAATTTATAATTGAGGGATCATTACTCCAATTGAGGTAAAGTTAAAGGATCTTTGCTACAATTTACTCTCTTTATAATTAGAATATCACAATAGGCTAGCAATAATGTAATTCAATCAGTTGTTCATTAAATATTATTTTCTCTATTTTTAAACAAGTTCAAAACATTTTAAGAGGTTGTAATGCCGGTTATCAAAAAGGTATTTCGCATGCGGATAATAATGTGATTAAATTAGTTGTCAAATGATTGTTTTTTTTTTTTAACAAATGATATTATCTACACTATAAGGGGAAGGGGGTGGGCTTATCCTTATAGTGGGCTAGCGATGATGTGATTCAATCAGTTGTTTATTTGTTTTTTTTTTTTTTTTAACAAATGATATTATCTACACTAAGGGAGATGGGTGACCTTAGCCTCACAATGAGCTAACAATAATGTGATTCAATCAGTTGTTTATTAAATACTATTTTTTCTATTCTTAATATAATTTTAATAGGGACCAATTTTATTATATGGATTCAGCTGCTTTAATTGATTTATGAGAGGTTTCTTCTAACATGATCTAAGATTATTCATTTACTTCAAATATTTGACTTTTCTTTTGTCAATTTACACATATAAATATATTTAAAACGTGTAAGTCACACGTAACATACCGTGATTAAAAAATGTTTTCTGCACTCGTGCATGTGCATGAAGGCTAGTGAATTAATACTTGAACTGGAAATTAAGGCCAAGTGGTGGATTTTGCTACTCCTAATCCCAAACAGCCTCCATTCCTTCAAACTTGTATAATCCAATGGGTCTATTCAATAATCTACAAATACCCAAATCAAAACTCAAACCAACAATTAGAAAGTGTTTTCGTTTTCTTTGGAATTTTCTCGGGAAACAAACAGAAAACAGAAAATAGAAAATTAAAAAGTGGGGCTTACTTGGAGTTTATAGGCTGTAATTATGTGATGCGATACATAAGAGATTGAGAGGTTTGGTTTTCAACGATCGAACAAGGTTCCAGACAGACATTTAATTAGTTGTTTCTTTGGCAATGGAATTAATCAAATCATTTGGCAATGGAACTTTACATTGAGAGAGTAGAGAGAAGGAATTAAATCACTTGGTAGTGGAACTTTATTTGGAGGCTTGATTTTCAAGGATCGAACAAGATTCTTTGGCAGTGGAACTTTAAATGGAGAGAGTAGAGAGAATGAATCAAATCACTTGGCAGTGGAACGTTAAATGGAGGGAGGATAAAGAAGGAATCAAATCACTTGGCAGTAGAATTTTATTTGGAGGCTTGGTTTTCAAGGATCGAACAAGATTCTTTGGCAGTGGAACTTTAAATGGAGAGAGTAGAGAGAAGAAATCAAATCACTTGGCAGGGGAACTTTAAATGGAGACAGGAGAGAGAAGGAATCAAATCACTTTGCAGTAGAACTTTATTTGGAGACTTGATTTTCAAGGATTGAACAAGATTCTTTGGCAGTGGAACTTTAAATGGAAAGAGGAGAGAGAAGGAATCAAATAACTTTGCAATGGAACTTTATTTGGAGGCTTGGTTTTCAAGGATGGAACAAGATTCTTTGGCAGTTGAACTTTAAATGGAGAGAGTAGAGAGAAGGAATCAAAGCACTTGGCAGTGGAACTTTATTTGGAGGCTTGGTTTTCAAGGATCGAACAAGATTCTTTGGCAATGGAACTTTAAATAGAGAGAGTAGAAAGAATGAATCAAATCACTTGGCAGTGGAACTTTATTTAGAGACTTGGTTTTCAAGGATCAAACAAGATTATTTGGCAATGGAACTTTAAATGGAGAGAGTAGAGAGAATGAATCAAATTACTTGGTAATGGAACTTTATTTGAAGGCTTGATTTTCAAGGATCGAACAAGATTCTTTGGCAGTGGAACTTTAAATGGAGAGAGAAGAGAGAAGGAATCAAATCACTTGTCAGTGGAACTTTATTTGGAGGCTTGATTCTCAAAGACAGAACAAGATTCTTTGGTAGTGGAACTTTAAATGGAGAGTGGAGAGAGAAGGAATCAAATAACTTTGCAATGGAACTTTATTTGGAGGCTTAGTTTTCAAGGATAGAACAAGATTATTTGTCGGTGGAACTTTAAATGGAGAGAGTAGAGAGAAGAAATTAAATCACTTGGTGGTGTAACTTTAAATTGAGAGAGGAGAGAGAAGGAATCAAATCATTTGACAGTGAAACTTTATTTGGAGGCTTGATTTTCAAGGATTGAACAAGATTCTTTGGCATTGGTACTTTAAATGGAAAGAGTAGAGAGAAGGAATCAAATCACTTGACAATGGAACTTTAAATGGAGAGAGGAGAGAGAAGGAATCAAATAATTTTGCAGTGGAAGTTTATTGGAGGCTTGGTTTTCAAGGATGGAACAAGATTCTTTGGCAGTGGAACTTTAAATGGAGAGAGTAGAGAGAATGAATCAAATCACTTGGCAGTGGAAGTTTAAATTGAGAGAGGAGAGAGAAGGAATCAAATTACTTGGCAATGGAACTTTATTTGGAGGCTTGGTTTTCAAGGATTGAATAAGATTCTTTAACAGTGAAACTTTAAATGGAAAAAGTAGAGAGAAGGAATCAAATCACTTGGCAATGAAACTTTGAATGGAGAGAGAGGAGGGAGAAGGAATCAAATCACTTGGCAGTGGAACTTTATTTGGAGGCTTGGTTTTCAAGGATCGAACAAGATTCTATGGCAGTGGAACTTTAAATGGAGAGAGTAGAAATAATGAATCAAATCACTTGGTAGTGAAACTTTATTTGGAGGCTTGATTTTCAAGGATTGAACAAGATTCTTTGGCAGTGGAACTTTAAATGGAGAGAGAAGAGAGAATGAATCAAATCACTTGGTAGTGTGGAACTTTAAATGGAGAGAAGAGAGAGAAGAAATCAAATCACTTGATAGTGGAACTTTATTTGGAGGCTTGGTTTTCAAGGATCGAACAAGATTCTTTGGCAGTGGAACTTTAAATGGAGAGAGTAGAGAGGAGGAATCAAATCACTTGGCAGTAGAACTTTAAATGGAGAGATAGATGAGAGAGAATGAATCAAATCACTTTGCAGTGGAACTTTATTTGAAGGCTTGATTTTCAAGGACAGAACAAGATTCTTTGGCAATGGAACTTTAAATGGAGAGAGGAAAGAGAATGAATCAAATAACTTTGCAGTGGAACTTTATTTGGATGCTTGGTTTTCAAGGATAGAACAAGATTCTTTGGCAGTGGAACTTTAAATGGAGAGAGTAGAGAGAAGGAATCAAATCACTTGGCAGTGGAACTTTAAATTGAGAGAGGAGAGAGAATGAATCAAATCACTTGGCAGTGAAACTTTATTTGGAGGCTTGGTTTTCAAGGATTGAACAAGATTCTTTGGTAGTGTGACTTTAAATGGAGAGAGGAGAAAGAAAGAATCAAATAACTTTGTAGTGGAAAATTATTTGGAGGCTTGGTTTTCAAGGATGGAACAAGATTCTTTGGCAGTGGAACTTTAAATTGAGAGAGGAGAGAAGGAATCAAATCACTTGGCAGTGGAAGTTTATTTAAAGGCTTGATTTTCATGGACAGAACAATCTTCTTTGGCAATGGAACTTTAAATGGAGATAGGAGAAATAAGGAATCAAATAACTTTGCAGTGGAAAATTATTTGGAGGCTTGGTTTTTAAGGATAGAACAAGATTCTTTGGCAGTGGAACTTAAAATGGAGAGAGTAGAGAGAATGAATCAAATCACTTGGCAGTGGAAGTTTAAATTGAGAAAGGAGAGAGAATGAATCAAATCACTTGGCAGTGGAACTTTATTTGGAGACTTGATTTTCAAGGACTGAACAAGATTATTTGGCAGTGGAACTTTAAATGAAAAGAGTAGAGATAAGGAATCAAATCACTTGGCAATGGAACTTTAAATGGAGAGAGGAGAGAGAAGGAATCAAATCACTTGGTAGTGGAACTTTATTTGGAGGCTTGGTTGTCAAGGATCGAACAAGATTCTTTGGCAGTGGTACTTTAAATGAAAAGAGTAGAGAGAATGAATCGAATCACTTGACAGTGGAACTTTAAATGGAGAGAGAAGAGAGAAGGAATCAAATCACTTGGCAGTAGAACTTTATTTGGAGGCTTGATTTTCAAGGATCGAACAAGATTCTTTGACAGTAGAACTTTAAATGGAGAGAGTAGAGTGAAGGAATCATGCGGCAGTGGAAGTGTGGAACTTTATTTGGACTTGGAGGCTTAATTCTTGCATCTATTCCTCCAAATACATGCTTGCATATCTATTCTTCCAAATATATGCTTCCAAATCCATTCTTCCAAATATACCTCCTAGGATTAAAACTTTTATTTAGACTCTCACACACGGACACATACATGGATACAACGAACACGACGGCATTGCAAATCTCAAAAAATAAAAGACACAACACGGTTAGTACATCGTGATTAAAAAAGAACAAATTTAAATTAACACCCCACATTAATGAATACAACCTACATACTCAATACACCCACATTTGTTTTTTAATTAAAATTTATCTTAATACACCTCACACAGTTCCCATACTACCCTCACATCTCACACCCCACACTCTCACTATACACTCTACATTTTCTACACCCACATATTCTATATACACTTCACACTATTCACATCTTAGGTACAAGTGAAGGATTATGGAAGTATCCTTCTTCTATTCATTTTAAGTAAAGAAAGAACATGGAATTGAAAAAAGAACATGGAAGTATCCTTTTTGTTTTAAGATAATGATCTTAGAAGATGATGTGTGTGCAGAGAGACATATGGAGAGAGCACATGGCTGAAGTTCGATTCTCGCTTGAGGTCTCAAGTTTTTATTTTGCACTTGAAATCTCAAGTTCAATTTTCGCTTCATAATATTGTTTGTACGATAAAGAGCAAAAAATATGGGTGAAATTTATTTGTTCTTTTATGATCAAGGAGCCAGTCGAAACTGCGAAGAAACAGCGATCAACCTAAGCGATTGAAAACAGCAAAAAGGAAGAACAGTATGGAAGGAGACGAGTAGGTTTTTTGTACATCATTCTCTCTTCACCAGCCGACTTTATTAAGAACATAAGAAATAATGAAATTGATGAAACTAATGATAAAATGGCTGGGAGAAGGGATGAGTGTATGGACGATGATTAGACAGAGGGGAGAGAGAGGGGATGGAGAGATGAAAACCATGAATCATTTTTGCTATTTTTCTTACTTTTCCTATTTTATAATATGTTATACAATGTTTGAAAATTTATATTTTTTTTGTTTCAATCTATGTGGCACCATTTGATTGGATACGTGACCTTTATATTTGTGCCACGTCAGCCATAAGTGGGCCCTAATTATGCCACATAAATAAACTTAACGATACGTTACTTAGAGAAATACATTGAAACAAGCTAAAGTGGAGTGAATATTAAGTTTCAAGGGTAAAGTAACGACTTTTGAGTTCCAAGAGGTAAAATGGGATCGAAATTGAGTTTCAAGGGGCAATGTGGGATTAAAATCGAGTTCCAATGAGCAAAGTGGCGACTCGAAATTGAGTTTCAAGGAGCAAAGTAACGACTTTTAAGTTTCAGAGAGCAAAGTGATATTGAAATCGAGTTTTAGAGAGTAATTAAAAGTAAGCCTTAAAATAAAAAACTTAGGATAAATTTCAAAATTTTATAATAATCTCACGCAATACGAATCTCCATCTCGCAGCTTTCTCTTGGAGTCAAAATCACATACCCCTAAGTGTTGAAATTTGAAATTCATGATTTTTCATGAGTGTGTCCGCCTACATTTTTATTCCTCAAAAATTATTAGACTATTAAACCGTGGAATCACTTGAGAGAGAATCAATTTTCCTTTTTTCCACTCCCATTCCACTGTAATAAACATACCATTAGTCTATGAATTTTTTTTGTCAACATAAGTTGAGACTGTTTTCGGCAAGTTAAGGCTAAAACCCTTAATTACGGGGACAAAGGAAGTCATAAATTGTAATTGGGGTCCGTCTGGATTGAGGATATTTGAAATCTCAATTCCAGGCGCTCACTACTAATTTTATAGTTTTTATTAGAGGTATTGGTCGATTTCCCTACCGAAATTGTAAGGAGCTATCAATTCTCACCGAACTTGTAAGGAAATACCAATTTTCCCCTAAACTCTAATTTTAGCGGATTGCCTCCTGAAGTTTTATAATTGGTCAATTTTCCCTATGAATTTTAGTTTTAATTGATTACCCGCTGAACTTATATAATTAGCCAGTTTCTCCACTGAACTTTAGGAACTTTAAGTCCCCCCTAAGCCCTAAAGTTCAAACAAATAGTGTACGGACTAAACTAACGGAAGAGAAGAAGAAGAAAAACAATATGTTATCCACATTAGAGATAAAATTATGTTTTTGCAATTATAAAATTAAAATTTAGGGAAAAAATTGACTAATTATAAAAAATTAAGAGAAGTATGGGCTAAAATTAAAGTTTAGTTGGGAAATTGGCCAAGTATAAAAGTTTAGGAATGCAATTAGCCAAAATTAAAGTTCATGAGAAAATTATCAGTTCCTTACAAGTTTAGAAAAAGAAGAGAAGAAATCGACAAATAGGCCACTAAAAATCCAAATCCTTGCGTGTAAATCACTCCCATCCGTGTAGACCCCTAAACTCGTAACTAAAGAAACCAAATTCTCCAGCCAAAGTTACACTAAACAAACAAGAATCATTACTCCAAAGAAACAAATTGACGCATTATACACACCGTTTAAAAGATAGAGAATTTTTACGAAAAGCTTCCGGTACCGTGCACTTTAATGAAAAATCACATTTTTACATTAAAAGATCAATCATAGTATTATTCACTTTATCCTTTATTTTGTCCTTATCGTTAAAACTTAAAGTTTTCAAACTCTTTTCATTAGTTTTCCTTTAAAAGATCACAGCAGCGATGGAAATTTCACAACCGAAAGTCAGTAAACAAACTTATGTCGAATAGTTTAGAACAGTTCAATTTGATGAATACATCTTCGCTCCTGACTAAAAACGTTGGCATCTAAACTCCCTCCCGCAACGTAAACGAACAAACCTTAGGGTCAGAATTCATAAGCCCTGTTTACTAGAATAGGTTCAGTACATGAATTTCCTCGTTTGTCATACAATTCAAGAGCTTAAGATCTTTGGCTACTCAGCCTTGTGCCTTTCGCGCCTGAAGAGACGATAGAACAATGACAATAGCCAGTGCCAAAAGATGATCAACCGATTATTCCGTTTGGGTTTTGGCTCTGGGGTTGGTCCAAAAATTCCCTTGTAGATTTCTTTTTGTTTCTGATAAACAGCCTTGTCGTGTTCAGCAAGCAGACGTAACTCTCTTGCAATAGCTTTGTCTTGAGGTGCAAACTTGCGCGCCTTTAGAAAGTCTTCCCGCGCAGCATCTGTCTGCCCAAGCTCTGCTCTCGCTTTTCCTCGCCTAAATAGCGCTTTGACGTTGTTTTCATCCTCTGCCAGTACCTACAAACATTCATCCAATTACAGTTAACACAGTTTCAATGACAATTTAAGGGTATTCATGAAAGGGTAAATATCTGCCGACTCCAAGCAATGCAGAAAAATCAATTAATAAACGTTAGTTGCATGGACAATTTATGGGTATTCATGAAAATGTAAATATCTGCCCACTCCAAGCAATGCAGAAAAATCAATCATAGACGTTAGTTTCATTGACAATTTATGGGTATTCATGAAAAGGTAATATCAGCATATTCCATACGAAACGACACAGAAAAATCAACTACAAGACGTTAGTTGTATTTGCCAATTTTGAGTTATAACATCCACATAGTATGAACAACAGGATAAAACATGGAAAGTAACATACTAGAGATCATAAGAGTCGCATGGGACTCAAAATTCCATTATTGATTGAAGAATGGTGCTAGTAAGCCTACAAATTTTTCACTGGTCCATACTAAAGCATTTTCATTTCTATGGCAATCCAAAATGGCAGGTTAGAGTGAATGAAGATTCAAAATTCACAGAATGCCAAATAAGCCTACAAACCCAACTTTCTAAGTACATAATGATGAATAGCACAGTTGCTGAACAGATGAAATTAGATGACTTTCTTGTGAGAGCATTATACTTACAATACTGCACTGTCCAATGGCATCTTCATAGCGCTTGAGCTTTATAAAAGACGCAGCCATGTTAAGGTGGCATGGATTTTTAACAGCCAAAGCCATGTCCCTGTACTTCCCAAACAACTGGAACATGAAGTCGTCACCCATATATGCTATAGCCTGAGAAAACCCACCAGAATCTGGTCAGAAGGAAACATAGAAAAGAGACTCTACAACTCAAAAGGTCATCAGCCATAAATGAAGTATGTAAGAATTACGAGTGCGTAACCATTTCATACTGTTGCATTGCCTCCTCCAGTTTTTCCTCTTTAAATAAAGCATTTCCATCCATTTTTCTTCTATCTGCTGCTCCAATCCTTTCCTCCACAGTCATGTCACCACGAGCTTTCCCCTATGAAAGGCAGAACCCACAGATATACATGTTACTATATTACTGAAGCAAGTTCCTGAAAAGAGATTCTGAAACTTCCATTGGTAACTACTTGGAAAGACATTTGAGAGCAAGTGAGCAACTTACTTCTTTGGTTTCATCAAATCCAATAAGCTCAACTTCATATGATATATCTGCCAATGGTGGTACATTCGGAAAAGAAAAGCTCCCTTCTTTCCCATACCCTAACTCCCAGCCCACATGTAATAGGGCACGCTCTCCAGACTTCATGCTGGACACCCCAATAGCCAAGCCAGTCATTTCTTTTTTCTCTGTTGCAGTAACAAAAATATACTACTAATAAGAAGTCCATTGTATTTAATACCACTACATAATGCTTAAAGGCTTATGGACCCAAATCATCTGAAATGACAAGTAATTACAGAGAATAAATGCAATAAAGAAATCACAAAACTAATTGCAGGCTGAACAAGGAACACGCCAGGACTCAGTTTTCATATATTTTGTGTATATCAACGGTAACAGACTACCCGGCAAGGCTAATACCTTTTCCTAAAATCATTTCAAGTGGTCGTTGTTCATCCCTTGTATCTTCGAACTTGTGTCCTGTTCTTTCAGTCCATGCCCTGTAGTGCACTATCACACATATGCCAATCAATCAGTGATTGAAAAAACCAGAGTAAACATTCGCTACAAGACCTGTCTACATGTATCTTAGCCTTCTTAAGCATCCTTTTTTAAATTTTAATGCATGCACAATTACTCCTCCTATACACACACACAACTCTGCGAACGTGAATGTTGTGTGTGTCTGTTTGCAAGTCACAATCTCATTCATGTCTTACTCCCACAGTAAAATTTTACATGCACAAATAACAATTATTAGATTTTCAACTAATGTACATGGCCCTATCCAAAGATAACCATATTTAGAAGTACAAGAATAAGCAACCACTTGACACTTACAGAAGCATGTTGAATACTTGGAAGGTATTTGACCATGACCTTCCTTAATGATTTGCTTTGTGACTTTCTCGTGAAGGATTTCCACCTTAGAATCAACTTTTGGGGGGCCATTAGCATCTTGAGAAGGTTCCCCATGCACAAAGGTAGCACCTTCGGTTACTATTTCACTTTCACCATCTTGACCTACAAAGAAGATGAAAAGATGAGTATTAGTCTATATTGCGATGGCCTTTTTCGAAGGCTCACATGGATTGCAACACCCTATAGGAATTACAGTGTCCATACTATATGATTATTTGGAATCTAATTCACTCATAAGCAGAGGGGGAACGACAAACTTCTTCTTTTCCCTGCACATTATACAGGGACTATATAGCTGCCATCCCCACTTATACTACATGAGTTTTGGAACACAGAATTTCTTAGTTACTCAAAATAAATGCATGGCGGAATGATGAATCAGTGTAGTGGAAGCGGTAGTCATAATGTCAAACTCTTGTGTTCCTTCTCGATAATCGATATACAAATTATTTCCAAAAATCTTATCAATTAGTAAATGAAACAATAAGTTTTCCCCTAGATAATGATCTATAGAAGAATTTTTCTTGAAAAAAGTAAGCAGAAAAGGACAAGAAAACATCTCCATGTATTCATTCAGTCCAACTCAATCGCTCGAAAACCCGCTTATCGGGTTAGTTTGACATATATTTGAAGCTACAAGCCAACTAAGAGTCTAAGATTTGACATGTATTTGCTTTTTTACAGAATCCAAGTGTAGCTGAAAGACTTGATTGAGTGTAAATTAAGGCCAAAAGCATGATAAACATTACCAAGTGGTTGACTTTGCTGCTCAGCCTCAGCCTGCTCCTGATCCCGAACATCCTCCATCACTTCAAACTTGTATAATCCAATCCAATGGGTCTTCTCAAAATTCAGCAAATACCCAAATCAAAGAAGCAAAATTTGATGCAATTGCATTCGAATTCCAAACCAAAAATTAGCTAGGGTTTCGTTTTCTTTAGAATTTTCTCGGGAAACAAACAGAAAACGGGAAATAGAAAAGGAAAAGCGGGACTTACTTGGAGTTTATAGGTAGTAACTTGAAAGCGTATGATGAGATCCACGAGAGGACAGTGACGGGATCTGCATTGTGTTTGGTTTTCAACGATCGAACAAGATTCTAGAAAGACCTCAACTTAATTAAGTAATTAATTAATTAACTGATCCTTCGAGTTCGAATCTGGTGTGCCCACAAAGCCTTTGCCCACCCTCTGTCTGCACCCCCCTTGTGACACCTGTCTTCTCAGTTAACAGAGGTTTAACTCCGTTCGTCTCCCACCTCCGTAAAATAATGAAAGCAAAAATGGAACTCAAAATTACAGACTTCAACGGAAGAAATTTTAGTTAAAGGTATTTTAGCACGAGTCTTAACGCAACGAAAGTGTTGCTTTTTTATGATCGAAAACAACCTCTTTACAAAGCAAGACCCAATCCTCGCAAATTTAGAAGCCGATCAATTGGTTAAATTTCAAAATCCGTAGTCAATTGAAGAGCAGAAAAGTAATGCGTTTTCTAGTTTTTTATCAACAAAGAGTTGATTGCCTGTTCCACATTGTAACGAGAAACAAAACAAGCATTTTATCAATCACCAAACACAAATAACAGATCGACGTCTGAAGGTCATTGGATTTTCTTACGAAATCAGTGAACAAATTGCTCCAGTTAAGAGCGAGGTTCTTAGTATACAAGCAAGATATGTAGTACTTAAAACACAAATTGCTAGTCACCATCCAAAAGCGACTGCTTTACAAGATATATGTTTTTCACCATCTACGCACTGACATGTAGGATGAATGTTGTTGCATGGGTCCTGGGATCAATCATGTTACATTCCAAAAATTTGACAACGGGCTTGGCCGCCAGAATTATATATCTTGAATAGACACCGGCTAAGCATATTGCAGTTCAAGTTCCCTTGATTCATACGCCGGAGGTAGCAAACTGTGTATGTTCGCGAAAGGATCGTCACTGCCTGATGGTGGCTCCCCAATAGGTTTATCCAGAACATAGTCAGGAAGTGCTACAAGCGTTTCATCAAAAAACTCTTTCATAGTCTGCAAGGTTCAAGAACCATATCAGAAACTTAAGCAACTCAAGAACAACATAATTCCTTGGACGTAAATAAAACCATCGGAATTTAGATAAATCATCCCCTGAATTTAGATAATGTATTGAATCCTAAAAGTGGAACTTAATAAGTATACAAGGATAATAAAATAATACCGTGCAATGCAGGAAAGCAGCATCAGCTTTGCGTTTCCATAGACCATTCCCAGGTTCCGAATGGAAAAGACCCAGCAAAGGCTGCAGTAGAACAAAAAGAGTGATGCAATTACACCAAAGTTATTATGGTAGGATAAAAGAGGGTGATGCAATCCCTGTGTATTCAACCCAAAAAAAAAAAGATAGCCCTTAAACAAGGCAGATTGAGTCAGATAAGCAACATGTGTCAAATTACATAATATACATAATGCCCTTTTGGTGTTTGTAATGTGAAATGTGAAAAGACTGAAGAGACCCATGGAACTGAATGCTAAATTGACATCAAAAGACAATCAGTTGAAAGCTGCCCAATTTTTCTTTCCTGATTTTCTTTATAAAAAAAAAAATCATCTAGGAGTAAGGAAAATGTGGAAAATAATAACATCATAGTGTCAATTCGACATTTTCGTGTGTGCGGGAAGAGGCTGTTGGCATATTCTATCTGTTCTATTATGACTTGTACAAGGGTATGAGTAAAACTTTTCAGATAGCACCATAATATTATGAGGATCATAGTTGGTAGTACTAACCCTTGCTACATCTCGCACAGTTGGTTTGCGTCCATATCTTCCCACGGCAGTATCTCCATACACTTGAAACTTCTCCAGTATCTAACAGTGGAAGAACAGATAATTATGGGCTGTAAAAATTCAATGGAAACGGAGTAGATACACCTATTTACAGTCAAGTTTGCAGACCTGACGCCGCGTTACACCACTGCTTGGTGCTCCATAAACTACAGTATCAACATGTCCCAGAGTATGCCAGGGTCTATTGAAAAATGTACAAAGGTTGTCAAACAACTTTGGAATCACAAATTAACATTGCAATAGAAAGGACTATCGGAATTCTATATCTAAATAAAATAAGAACCTAAACTAATGTTAACATGAGTCTTAAAACCCAAAATGTTAGGGGTATTTTAATATGGTGGAGTCATTAAAGCTAGTAGTTAGTCTTCATTCAAGTCTTGATCTTTAACTTTCTAGTAAATTTCTTACTTGGCACATGCAAGACGCGCATTGGTTCAAAGGTAGCAGACAGACTTACATATGATGCGAGATGTTATGAGCTAAATAATATAGTGAAGGGAAAATGCTTTCTTATTTTGGATAAGACTCTTAGACCAGAAAAGCTCAGCATAAGAGGTTTCTTTCTGCCCACCTCCAAACACTCCATGCTCAAATTTCACAGAAATCAGCGAATCTAATTTCATTCTTTCAAGTTTTGCGTCTTCTACTTAATCCCTTGTTTTCACGCAAGGATTTCATTTGGTTCTTTAATAGGAAACAAAAACTATAATGACAGAGTTCTAGTTTCACTCGAAGGGCTAGAATTGGATGTGGACTCGGACACAAAAATGAAATAAAAATATCAGTCATAAGATAGGGACATGAAATATGTATAACCAAATTTGAAAGTTCTTGCAGCAATTTACCAAAAGGAAAAAGAAAATCCAAATTATGACATTACATACTTATTATATGCAGCGCGTCCAACCATTACACCATGAGCTCCTGCCCTTCTTGCTGCATTGACCTAAAATTAAAGGATGAAACAACATGAAATAAAGGTCAGTGGGAGTCAACATAAAGGTTTTGCATCAACTAAAAGACAACAAAATGAAATTTTTGACAGCTTTGCTGTATCACTATCACCATATATCCAAATCATGTTAGAAACCAGGATAGCCAGTTCATATATATATGCACAAAGTTGAAACATCAGATAGAACAGTTAAATTTTGCAAATATGCTGTATTGACCAATTACAATGAAGAAAGTTTCAGAAAATACAATCTTCTCAACAAAAAGGAAATGACAGCAGGGACACAATACCCCAAGTTACAACTCACTACTGTCCCAATGGATAACACAAAACTTTATAGAAAATAACGAGTTGAATAGAAATGTAGCTAGAAAATGGATATCATCTGAATTACAATATAATTGTTCTTCTTATGACAAGGCTTACCTCCTCAACGGTGTTTATGCCCCCATTTATTGTAAATCTCAAGTCTGGAAAGTCACGCAAGAGGCCATAAAAGTACTCATATCTGCAATAAAGTAAATGTGATCAATAATAAGAGGCAGTATGTTAGTTGTGAATGTGATCTACAAATATTTACAAATTTAATCTACGCATTTCAAAATACCAGTTCTGAAATAAGCATACCAGTAAAGTGACTAAAAAACATAAGTTCACAAAACATGAAATACCAGAATACATACTTAAGAGGCGGAATACTTCGATTTTCAGCCGGGCTAATTCCATTGAGCAGTGCCTTCCGTGAATGTATTATGAAATGCCTAGTTGGAGATTGAGAAGAAACCTTGTAAATAAAATCACCTGAAAAGGAAAGACAGGTGCGACACAATTAAGTGAGGATGCAACTATAGAAATGCCTAGTTGGAGATTGAGAAGAAACAGTGTGTCCTCAGTTCATCATTCACTGGATTTTCCGGTGTCTTTCTTTTTTACTATATTGATACTGATTTTGCTGACTATATAAACAGAACCAGAAAATGGGAACTTACAGAGCTCGTTATATGAATCATGATCATCAACACCAATTCGACACTTAACACTGACAGGTACATCTGTGTGCGCGGCAATTACTGACATAGCCTCAGCAACAAACTTTCCTTGTAAAGACCAAACATCTTTATCAGAGCTCAGTATAAAGAAAAAAAAAATCTTACATATTTGTGGCAAAGTTACAAAAAAAATATAATGAGAAATGTTATCAAACCTTTGGATCAAGCATAAGACGAACACCAAAGCACCCATGCCCAGCTACTTTTGGACTCGGACATCCACAACTGGTAAACCGTAGGGGTCAGATTAGGGGTCAGAGAAAACTTGAAAGATAAATTCAATGAACAAAAGCTTAAATAAAGAGTACAAACTTAAAATTGATCTCATCATATTTGTAAGGGTTAGCAAGCTCAGTCGCTTTGGCGAGGTTTTCCAAATTATTCCCGCCAATTTGAAGAACAATAGGATGTTGTTCTGGAGAATATTCCAAGAATCTGTCCTGATAAAAAGTCCCACTATCAGTTGTCATAATCCAAACATAAATGCACAAGAAAAATCAAGAAATAAATGAAACTGTTAATGCCAAAATTTAATAAAACATAAACATAACGGGGCAAAAATAAAAATAAAAGAACCGAACTTTAATCTGCATTACAGTCTGCCATGAGGAGAAATAATACATTAACTAACATAATGATGGATTAGAAAGGAAAAAGAGAAAAAGTATGCGCATCGTTTATAAGCTCAAGCAACAATGATCAGAAACCCCCACCGTATGAAGTTATCAATTTCAACCTGTACACTTTCCTCTAAAGAAATTTCAACTCAGCACATGAAAGATATTGTCAAACTATTCCTTTTATGGGATGACTACATCAACTCAAAACAACCATAATGGTATCTTGTGAAATCAACTTCACAATTTCCACAAAATTACTTGTTTGGTTGAGACTATTTCAAAGCTTCCAGGTTCTAAAGTGACACTTAACAATTCTTTCTAGTCTTATACAATATGAAATCCCATGGGGTTCAATGGGGTAGAATTTGGCTCATTAGAGACGTCTTTTGGGCTCAGATGTGTGGTAAAGTTAATAGGGAGTGCAGAAAGTTTTGGCAAACGGCTCCCTTGTCTACATTTGGGTGTATATCGAGAGAAAAAGCATCAAGTATCCTGTGGGAACACAGAGATCTCAATTAGAGGCACTAATGTGTTCTAAATGTAGTAGCAAGATCATGTGTCTTGTATGAAGTCCATGAACACCCTTTTACTATAGCATTAGAAATTCAAAATATTCAACTGACTGAAATCGGTAATCAGAGATCCCACCTTATAAAGTTATCTACTTCAACTAAACACTTCTTGTAAGAGAATGTCAACTAAACGCATGGAAGATATTTATCAAACTATCCATTCTATTGGATGACTACATCAATTCAAAATATCTTGTGAAAACCAATTTCCGCCGAATTATATTCTCCGTTGACATTATTTCGAAGCTTTTGGATTCCGAAGTGACACTCGACAATTCTTTCTAATGTTATACAAAACGAAGTCCAATGTCTCAATTGAGGCTACAAAAATGCAACACTAGCAGAAAGAGTATTTATAAATATGGTTTACCAGATTATCCTTCTGGTAAACAATGGTTTCAGCAGCAAGCATCTCAGTGTAGAGCCAGGCATTCTTCGAAATAAGCCGGGCCAAGGTCCTGTAGTGATTGTCAGTCCACTCCATCATCGGGGCAACACTGCAAATTTGCAAAACCAACAAAACCCAATTCCACAAAAACCATAAACCTTATGGGAAGCAATGCAATTTGCAAATCAATCGATAAGTATAAAGAGAGAGAGGGGGAGAACCTAAACAAAGGAGAAGGGTAGTGGGCGTGGTGGGGGTGGTTGGCGGGAGAAGAAACCATGGCGGCGGCGGGTATGCTACCGCTGAGGAGTTGATGGTTTTGAGAGGAGGAGGAGAAAGTGGAAGTGGAAGTGGAAGTGGAAGTGGTGGATGATGCGGTGGTTGTTGGAGAAGAAGTGCCCTGAAACAGATTAAACGACAATTTGCCACGGTTTTTTGTGCGAAGAAAAACCGAATGAATAGGAGTAACAGAGGAATACGAATACGAAGAAGAAGTTGGAAACTTCATTTTTCTTATGGGTCTGGATTTGTTAAACTCACGTTCAGAGAGAATCTCAGAGGCTCCTGCTGGTTGTGTTTGTTGGCTCCATGGACTCTTGGGAGGGAGGCAGATAACTCGATAGGGCACTTCCTGGTCGAGGGAGGGAAACGACAAAGGTCCAGTCGAAAACGAAAGGTCGTTATCTATTGGGCTTGGCGTGTGGAATTAATATGGGCATGGTAAAAGTAGCCCAATAAAAAAGCCCACTCATACTTTGTGGGCCATGAACTCCCTACCCGGGAGCCCACAATCATCTTCAAATATATGTGGTGGAGAAATAACCGCATTAACCGTCTTTTCTACTTCCCGCATACTCCTGTCAGTTCACTTCCTTGCTCTCACTACTTCCATGGCGAGCTTCAGCTTCAACACCACCAGAATCAGAACCCCCACCCTTCAATACCACAAACCCATCTCCAAGTTTGTCTACCGGGCAAAACCCATCAAAATCCCATCTCCTCTCTCCACCAATCCCTCAAAATCCCGGCCAAAACTCCGCTGTTTCCGTCCCAATTCCGTCTCGGAAAGCTCTTTTTCCACGACACAAGAAGCAGAGGAGGAGGAATTCGATGAAGTGGACGACGACCCAACGAAGGAGCTGAGCTACCTCGACCCGGAAACCGACCCGGAGAGCATTTCGGAGTGGGAGCTAGACTTCTGCTCCAGGCCGATTTTGGATATCAGAGGGAAGAAGGTGTGGGAGCTGGTGGTTTGTGACGAATCGCTGTCTCTGCAGTTTACGAAATATTTTCCAAACAACGTTATCAACAGCATTACTTTGAAGGATGCTATTGTGTCCATTAGTGACGAATTAGGTGTCCCTCTGCCGGATAAAATCCGCTACTTCAGGTAAATTTCTCCTGGTCGTAATCAGAACCATTCATTTTCTTAATCTTCATTTAAAGATCATCTCTACAAGTTAAATTGAACAAGGTTTAGTCATTCATATGTGTCGAACAAATTGACAAGTACGTTAATAACAAATGGGAGAGGTGCGCTCATGGGGTTGGCGCAACTATTGTCTTACTAGTTGTTACGAATCAGTAACAATGGCTTAAATTTTTCCAATTTTTTAACGAAATCAGCACGTTTGGAGCACATGTGAGGTGCTTTACGCTTGTAAAACTCCAATTTACCATCACATTGTCACTCAGGCGCGAAATATTTCGAAAAAAAAGTGATGAAATATAGTCATTGTTCTTTAATTGTAACAATTAGTAAACTAGAGGGTTAAAGTAGCAGAACTTCGCCGTTTATTTTGCGCATAATGTGTGCTTCTGTGGATTGTGCATGCTTGAGAAAGCATGTCAGCTGGGATTTGGTAATGGTTCCACTTTTATGATTGGTTTTGTTCAATTGGATTATGTAGGTCACAGATGCAGACAATTATCACAAAGGCATGTAACGAGCTCGGTATAAAGCCTATTCCCAGTAAACGGGTAAGCATGTTTTTCTTGTCAATTCTCTAATTTTCGGAACATATATACAGATTGAGGAAGCCTGTTTTTTTTTTTTTTTTTCAACCACAACTGATTACGAAGACATTTTTACTAATCAAGTAACTTAAGAAAGTTAGGCTAATAGCCTGCAGAATTTAGAGGGCCGCTACAGATGTACGTTGATGTTAGACTAGACTAGTGGTAATATTTACCTGCACTAAACACTCTCGATCAGCTCTCTTAGGAAGCATTTCTATGGTCTCGCTTCCTTTCTCCATCGCTTGTTGACATGGATTTTAATTTCCCCTTAAGGGAACAGCACAACAAGATGTTTTCACCAAACCAAGTAGTCGCTTTTTAAGATTTCTTTCAGACGAGCATTTCATTCATTCTCCCTTTTTTTTTAGCATATGTACCATTGAATTATGGCGATACTGCCACAGAGATGCCGAAGTTACACGTCTTTGAAACACTATCAACAGTTAGTAATGAAGCTTTTCGTTTTTCTGGTAGAACTGCTTTCTCTGTCTGGTTATTGTCTTAGAACATTGCTTTTTTCAGTGCCTATCGCTGCTTTTGTGGTTGGAAGAACGCTATGAGACAGTGTACACACGCCATCCTGGTTTCCAGAAAGGATCTAAGCCGCTCCTCGCATTGGATAACCCTTTCCCAATGGAACTTCCGGAAAATCTTGTTGGCGAGAAATGGGCCTTTGTTCAGTTGCCCTTTTCAGGTAAAGGACTTGCTAATGGTGACATTTCGACAAATATAACAAGTCACATTCTCTGACCTGCCTTATTCATCCGGTATTTCTTCTAAACATTTCATGTGCCCTTACTAATTCTAATTCCTGGTTTCAGCTGTTCAAGAGGAAATCTCATCCTTAGACACGAACCTCGTGTTTGGCGCAAGTCTAGATTTGGATTTGTTGGGGATTGAAATTGATGAGAAGACTTTGATTCCAGGATTGGCAGTTGCATCTTCACGTGCAAAACCGCTAGCAGGTGTTTACTCTCGACTATCATCTTCTTTTTTCTTATGCATATTTACTTGCATATATCCATACGCAGATGTCCTTCATACAGATAGCGTGACATGTTATGTCATTAGATTTTTAAATAAGAACCGTTGGTCTGAGTAAATTGACAAATATAACAGCTTCCTAATTCCTATTGCATCTTGTACAGTTTTGTTATGTTCGTCTAACAATAAGTCTATAAGGGATCCTGATCGCATCTTGCTATATGCTGGTGCAGCTTGGATGAATGGGTTGGAAGTTTGCTCAATTGAAGTCGATTTGTCACGGGCTCGCTTGCTTCTTTCCGTTGGAATCTCTGGCCGATATATTTACGCCACCTACAATAAAACTCCTGAAACAACAAGTGAAGCTGAAGCTTGGGAAGCAGCAAAGAAGGATTGCGGAGGCTTGCACTTCCTTGCAATCCAGGGGGACTTGGACGGGGATGATTGTGTCGGATTTTGGCTTCTACTAGACTTGCCACCTCCACCTGTATAGTTCTATCGGTCGAAAAGGTTTACGAAAGAAATAACTCCTACACATTAGTTTCTCAGTTATATTACTTCATATTTGAGAAGTGATTGCAAGAACTGCTTCGGAACGGACTTTCTTTTCGAGGGTTTTTAACTGTTAATGAGTTTTATGAATGGCCGAAAGAGGAAACTAAACTCGCTATCCGGCAAAGTTGGTTGCAGGGATCAAGGTCTCTCATGCAAACTAGGGCTCAGAGTGCCCGAGTTCTAGTACCGGGTCTGTCATCCTGGGTTCGGGATTACAGACCCAAAGTTATCCAATTGGACATTTACAACTTGTATGGCCTCTCCTCCGAAAGAGCTCTACCATCGTCACCACCACTCTTCCAGGTTCCACCAAAATCGACTCCCACTTGGGCGTAGTCAGCAATGAGGCACCACAATCTGCACGAACAATGACTCAAGGACGGGATGCTTTCTAATTGACGGACAAATTTCAGCCAACAAACTAACGCCGGAAGCATTCACTTCACCACTGTATTCAATTCCATCAACTTTCAAAGATGGTAAACGCATCTGGTCCGATACGAAAACAACTTTCATTCCTATCCTGTCTGTTACAGCGAATTCTGAAATATCAAAGTTCAAGTCGGGAGTATACAAATACATTTCGAGAATAAGGCAGCTTAGCTGTCTATAGAACATAAAAAAAAAAAAAAAAAAAAAAAACAAAAGAACGAAAGAAAACCTGCTTTCCTCATAATTTACCCTACTTGACCAGAACTAATTCTTCAAGGACGACGAAACTAAACAGCCCTGCACATACAAGCCACCGGATATACTACAACACGTTATCTCTTCCGCCCGTTTAGAGGCAAACGATTTCCATTCCATATTAATGTGGAAGGAAGTCTCCAGATGAGATTGATCATCACCGCCGACAAGTCGTACGTCCTCATGTTCTTGACCCTTTCTGCTTTTGAGATACAAATCGAACCCCTTGCTTCCCCAGTTCCAGGGATTTGACTTTGCCGTCATCTAGAGTAACAGATAAAGTTGACGTGCCTTCGATAACTTCGCTAACCACTCCCTTATGCCTGTACAAAAAAAAATAAGGGAACAAGGAAAGAAATCAGCACAAATGAACACACCAAAAGTTCTCTGAAAGTAACACTTGATACTGACAACCACGTCTTCATGGAAAATAATCATTTAACAGAAAATATGAACGACAACCCCTTCATGGCTAAATTGTTGGCATTACAAGTTTACAACTCAAGACATCCTTTTATATGTTAGTATGGACTGTAATATTTTGTTTTATTTTATTTAGGGTCCTATGAGACTGAGTAATACACTATACAGAAACAACAAACTCACCAGGAATTGTCAGATAGCTGCTGAACTTCAACTCGCTTTCCGATTGCATCTCTGCCCAATTTCTTCAATATCCAATTAACATCAATCTCATCCATTACATTATGAACTGATTGTGGCTTGGAATCATTCTCAACAAATGATGTCTTCTCCCCAAAAGATGACGGTCTCTTTCTTTTTGACCGCTGGCCCTTGACACAATTTTTTTCTTCCTCAAGATAAGAACTCTGATTTTCAATATTAGGTTTCTTGAGCTTAAACTTCAGCGAAGTTGGTTTGGTATCTTTTGACGAAGAATGTGACACAGGTGTTTGAGCATAAGCATCATTGGTTTCATTACGTATGTTAGACCTGCTATGTGAATGCTTCCGGGAATACACCCTGTCATTTCTTAAAGTCGGGACTTCACCTACAGGCACAGCTGCAGTCATGCCTCCTTCAATGCCTTTTCCAAAAGCAACAGGTGTCCGCTCAGGTTGAATGGCTTCATATCCATCAGCCTTATCCCCTCTTTCAAATTTGGGGTTCTGATCTGAAGCTCCTGACCTAACTTTTCCCAACTTTATAAAATTTCCTTCTCTCCCAGAAACCTTTGGAACTTTCAGTGGGCCAGAATAATCGCTTTTATCTGCACATTATAGAACATAACAAAGATTTCAATTACACAACATAAAAAAAAAAACATCAAGTTTTGACCAAATTATTAATCAAGTGAAAAAAGATCAAACTTTTCCACCATTCTAACGGGTTGCAATCCTTATACCTTTAGCATTAGCAGAACCATCATGTCTATCCACCATAACAGTTCCTCTCTGCTGGCTGGCATCTTCACCGCCTGCCCATGAATAGAAACACAAGTCATATATCTACATATACATACAATATAAACACACACACACACACACACACACACACAATATATATATATATAGGCTTTTTAGCCAAAATGGTCCCTAAGATTTGCATAACACATCACTTTGGTCCCTGAGATTTGAAATCAATAGAAGTGGTCCCTAAGATTGTCCATCATCAATCTTTTTGGTCATTCCGTGCAAAATTATGTTAAATAAGGATCAAAATGACAAATATACCCTCAATTTAATAAATAATGGACAAACTCAGGGACTAATTCTATTGATTTCAAATCTCAGGGACCAAAGTGAGGAGTTATGCAAATCTCAGGGACCATTTTGGCTAAAAAGCCTTACAGCCCTACATACATACATACATACATACATATATTTAGAGAGATAAAGATAAAGCATTATCTTAGATCTTCCCCCTTACTGGTAACTAGATATATAAGTAACTACACATAGAACAATGTAAAAGTAACAGAATATCACACCATCACTACCGATTTGCTTATCAACTCATTTGATTCTTCTTCATTATTCAGGAAGTTTTTACTTGCCTATTTCTATTTATTAATTAAAGTTGCCTGGCTACATCCACCATAAAGCAGCTACTTCTATTATTGGTTTTTGGCCCTCAAAACTAGAAACGATGGTTCTGGGCCTTAAAATTCAAGCGGTATTTCAAATAATATTGCAGTTCGGAAGAGAATAATGTTTGTTGGTCCCTTTTAACGGCTAAAACACTTCAGAAAGGAAAAACCCTGTATGTCTGACATACATTTTTGTCAATGTCAGCATAAATGTAGGCAGATTTTCAGGTGTCCATGAAGGAAACCAAGGTTTACACCCCAAATGTCCACCATCTCAGCGACACATCGCCAAGATATTCACAAGGCAGATGGATCTACCTTCCACTCCTACATCACTATTTGTGGCTTTAAAACCCCAAATTGACAACCCACACGACCTTTCTGGACACTGAATGAGAGATTGTAAAGAGGGCAGCAATGGGCAGATTTGATGAATGCTAGGTGGTTGTAAGAACATTCATTGGTATTCCTCTCGAACTCAAGCTAGAGTCAGAGCAAAAAGCAGTAATCTGTTATTACCTAATGTTCAATGATGGTATCATAATGTAAGCTTAGAATCACGTATCACAATACTATGATGCTGTGTATATCGAAAAAAGTTTAAGTTATATGTAAACTTACAATTTCAAAGAATTTTATCTAAACATATATAAGTGAGATACTCATCCTCTTCAATAAACTAAACTGATTTTTAACGTATTTTCTAATGACAATGCTAAAAGCAAGAAATAGAAAAAGCCAAGTACCACGTCATATAAAAGACATACCAATGGCAGTCACCAAATCTTGTTCTCTTTGACACGTTGAAGCATCAGATGTTGGAGACTTGGTCAAATTTATCTTCCGTGCACCAAAATTTATCACTAACTTCTTCCCTTTAACAGGCTTTGACTTGCCAGCATGCTTTCCAGTATCCTCTCCACTATCCAGAGCATGAGACTTACTCTTGACACGAACGGCTTTGGATGTTCTATCTTCATCACTTGCCATCACCTCATCAACAAACTTGTGCTTCAAAACACCTGGCTCATTGACAGAGCAAATCTCTTCGGTGTGGCTAATACTTCCAGCTATTGGAGAAGAATATAAGTCAAGTTCTGCATTTTTGTACGGTGGCACCTCATCATTCTTGTCATAGCCCAAGCTAGATCCGAAAGACTGAGGATCATCATGTCCTCCAAACCTCTGAATCACTTCAGTTTTACCAACGAAGAACTCCTGATATTCCTTTTTCTTAGCAGACACTTTATTTGAAGATTTTTTTCCACTGTCCTTGGTCTTTTTCGGTGACTTATCAACTAACCCCTTGAGAGATAATTTCAACGGACGCCCATACTCATTCTTTAATAATTGAGGTCCATTTTCTTCATCATCGGAATAGGGTGAAATAGAAAATATTTCTTCTTGAGTTGGCAATCCTGCAGCAGCCCTCAAGCTAAAAATTAAATCTTGCTCAGCTTTGTCTTTTCTCCTCCAAAGCTCTACCACAGCATCCTCATTATTCTTGACCTGTAAAAGAAATTCCAAGTAAGAAGTAAATCAAAGTTGAAAATTAAGATAAACAAAATGCAAGCAAAAGGGAGGGGAAAGCACAGATTACTATCTTATTTGAGCAAACCTGGTAGCATTCACCACGACATGTAGCACATTTGTACTGGAGATTTCCATCTAATTGATACAGCTGATATCTCTCGTCACTGAAAAAGTAAAGAAACCCTTTAAATGAAATAAGCAATCCCACATGGAAATGAAAATAACAATTCACCAATTATAAAGTAAAAGATTCAGTTGGATCATTTAGAATACATCAACAAAAGGGAGGAAGATTTACGATGAAGAATTCACTATATATGGAGAGAGAGAGGCTTATTGAACTGCTAGACAAACAGCCCAGACCATAAAGGCTAACTAAACACATTTGAGAGAGTAAAAACCGGTGGTGGAAATAGAAGTGTTTCCTCTAGATGTGTTCCATTAGTCTTTGCTAAATTACTAGGTCTACTGGGGAGATGTTTTATCACAAAACATTGGGGCCCAAAGTTCCATGGTACAAAACTACTCCCTTTGGGACCAAGAAAAAGTCAAGGCAGGCAGCAGGATAATACAGCAAAACTATAATGGGTCTATAAAAGTATGAACCTGATTCCATCACAATGGCAGTGCACCCAGCGCTGGCAAATATCACAGCAAACCATTGGTGTTGATTCCGAATCTCTATAAACCTACAAAATAGGATCACAAACCCATATTTATTTGTGTGCATATATCGCAACTAGATAGTATGAATATCAGGATTATATAAGGCAGGCATCATCATATATAACAAAAATCAAGCAATAAATTAATACCTTCAAGCACACAGGACAATAGTTCCCCTTCACAAATAATCTTCCACATGCATCACAGCAAGTGTATCCCAGAAACCATCTGTCAATGTAACAAGAAAGGAGTGAGTCCACCAGTACATGCTAAAGTAAAAGTACAAAATTTTATGATACTACAATGTTTCAAATTGCACAAGTAAAATAACAATCATCTTAGCACCTCCGTTGAAAGAAGAAAATAAACCCACAGTATACAATATTCATAATAAATACCTCACACTTAAGCCATTTCCCGGAACTTTTGACCCACAGCTGTGACACTGTGTATGTTTCGGGCACACATAAGGTCCAGGAGAAACATTCTGCAACATGAATGAGCAAAAGTAAGCATATTTTCCACATTTTGGAGCCCAGCATACAACTCAGAACTAATCAGTACACACCCTACCTTGTGTGAAGGATGTTGGCAGTAACAATGGTAAGCGCCATCACACCTTTTGCAAAACATAAGCTTGTTTGGATCTCCTGTTCTTCGGCATACCTGAAGAAAGAAATAAAATGATACAGTCAACTGCACTTAGTATGAACAACTTTCTACCATTAATGACCACATTACATTACCATCATACAGACAAAAACCCTATAGACAATTCCTAGTCCTTATAAAAGTTATATGGTGTCAATAATAAGTGCAGGTATCCTTTTGCAAGTTAATTTTTTTACCATGAGCTATTAGACAGCCTGTAGCTGCAAAATATTCTTATATTTCTCTTGATTCACATCAAGTTTCCCGTACAATCTTACAATTCAATTTGACTCCTTTTCTAGACAAATATAATACATGTAAGTTCTATATGTCATTTAATACTTGCACGCTTGATGATTTCTGCTAGATTCGAGATAAGAGAAGAAATGCCAAGATCCAAAAGAATTTCAAACTATTTTAGACATAACAGCAGAATACTAGAAAACATGATCGACCAGACCAAAAGAACGAAAAAGAGAGAAAACATGATCAGGAGTGCATTAGAGAACAGAAACATAAAACCTAAAAAATAAAAATTGCAGAGCAAAAAATAGGGACCATTTAAATTCTTTTGAAGGAAATGGAGGATTTGGACTTTCAAGCATGAATAAAAACAAGTCAATGTATGAATATTGCACCCATTACCTCACAAATTCGGCACAAGGGGCATGTCCATGAACTCCAGTCAAATAGATCTACAAAGAAGTCCAATTAATTCTCACATGCAAAATCTGTAGCCCTGGGAGAAAAAGGGAAGAGTGACTCACCTCTATGTTGAGACCAAACTTTTACGCAGTTCCTGTGGTACTTCTTGCCACAGGTTTTGCATGGAAGCATCCTTCTTGCTCTCTCACTTCCTTCATTTTCACCACAAAAGCATATCCGGCACATAACATTCACATTGGACTGAGCCTGCTCTTCACCCACAACGCCTCTTGAGGTGTCCTGTCAAATGCAAAAGGAACTGATATTTTCCAGTGCAACAAATACAGGAAGAACCAAAATATATAAACAGAAAAATAACAAGCAGATTTCAACACCCCAAACAACACCAAATGTATTACAATTGCAAACATATGTCAATAATATTCGATGTTCAGCAAAAATGCAAAGTCATAATGGGAAATCACATGTCTCAAGAAAAAAAACATAAAAAATGGTGCACGTTATCGAAGCCATGGACTGTTCAAAGTACTATAATGGAACATTCTATTAGGTCCGCTAAATATGAAGTCTTGTCTGTTCACACAACAGTAACGGTTATGCCACGAGAAGACATACTCTCCTTTGTGCGCAATCATAGAGTTATTTCCATCTGTTCCTAAAAAAATTCCCCTATTGAAAGGCTTTTGCTTTATCTCTCTTAATTTCTTATCGGTCAGTCCTACTGTTTTTCAAACATTAAATGCCCTGTAAAACCTCAAGAATCTACCTATTTTCTTCTAACAGATTTTGTTCCAAAACTGTCTTTGAATCAAAATACATCCGTATCTTCGTATCAATGCCATTAAACTTAGCAAATATAGAGGAATATAAAAATACAATAATAAACAGAAACTACAATTTAGAGAAACTCCCAATTATTACATATTCATTCAAATCCTCTTTTCCCAGACATGGCAAAGCGGAAACTTTAACTCGGGAGCAACCTCAAAATGTCAGTGTCAAGCAGAATTAACCGAAAACTTATCAGCATTAAGCAATCTCCAATTCAGTTTACAACTAAATACTCACTCTATCACATAACATGCATTCAGATACAAACACATATACAACAAGAGCCCCAAGAATTAGCTCCAAATCACACCACACTTAACACTTGAAACAATTCGAACAATAAAAAGGCAGTCAATTTCAAAAACCTCACCGACAAATAACCAGATTCGAATCGCCGAGCAAAGTCCTCAGCCGCGACCATATCCGCAGCAGCCTTGCGCTGGAGAGCAGCCCGCTTGGCCTGCGAGGAGGCGGCGGCGGCGGACTCATCCTCAACAAGGGCGGCGGCAACATCTCCAACGACGGAAGGCATAACCGGCTGGGGAGGCGGCGGCAAGACCTTCGGAACGGCGACCTGGACCGTTTTTCCATCGTCGCGGGCCCTAATTCCGGAGGGATCGATGAGAAAGTCGTGAAGCCGCAGCACGTCTTCGAGGAACGAGGCCTTGGCATTCCCAGTGGCGAGGGTTGGCGGAAACCCAAGCGCACAGTCGCAGATCCGCCGGCTTCACCAAAACAAAGAGAGAAGTTTTAGTCAGAGAGAGAAAAAGAGAGAAAGAGAGAGAGGCTTAAGAGAGAGAGAGAGAGAGAGGTTTTAGAGAGAGAGAGAGAGAGAGAGTTGTACCATGTAATTGGGCAGGCGACATGAAATGCCATATTGCGGTGAGGAGGAGGATTTAGATTCGAAAAAAATGATGGGTTTTAGGGATCGCCCCCCTTCCCTCCTTCTCCCTCCAACCCAAAATTTTTACTTGGAAAAATTAAAATTAAAATTGTTTTATAAAAATAAAATAAAATTTAGGAATTATAAATTTAAGGTGGGTAGCTATTACTGTGTGTGGGCAATACGATGAGTCGAGGACGAAGATTGTCGAGCGAGCGCGAGAGGAGAGAGAGAGGAGAGAGAGAGGGGGGGAAGGGCTTATGATTTTTTGTCTTTGTGGATTTGTTGTGTGTTGGACTTTTAATTTTGGGTTTATATGGTAATAATTGGGGCGGAGGGCCTCGTGCGTGTGGACTTGTCTTTTCGGGCTTTCATATGTTTTTCCCTTTTTTTTGCAGAGGAAGGGAAGAACAATGATTTTTTTTTCTTTAATTTGATTGAATTAGGAGAGACTCAATTGATAGAAATTGGGGTGGAATCAAGAAAAAGTTATGTATGATTTTTGTTTTTGTACTCAAAAAGATTTTATAGGTTGTATGTCGCTTATTTTGGTAACTTTTAGTTTATACACGTAAATATCTGAAACATATTTCGAAATTTTTTAGGTTATGCACGTAAATTATCAAAGCAATCATTTAGGCAAGCACATAAATTGTCAAACCCTAATGTAGCCCGCCTCTTAGCCCCATTTTTGGAGCCAACTCCTCAATTGCAATAATTGATTCAAATTCAGTAGTTATATTTGAAAACATCCAATTGTAGTTTAATTAAATTAACCAATAAATTTAAAACTAATAAAATATTGAGGGGGCTAGTTTAACCATTGCGATTGAAGATGGTATATGAGTATGGTTTAACATTGCTCATTCAAAAAATATAAATTTTTTACAATGTGACAATTCTGAACAAGACTATATTTAACCATTTTGGAAATGTCCTTAGAAAGGAAGATTGCACCCTAGCTAACTTGTATGGCCCAAATGTTGCGTTTGCGTTGTCTAAATAATTTACTTGTAGAAAATAAAAAACTTAAACGTAGCAGTCTTTAGACAGAAATGCCTTTGTTAATTTACAGTTTTCACTACCTCACATAGCTCCTCCTAAATTTCTATACAAACTACAATTTTCACAAACCATCTGTGGTAATTCCTTGCTACAATTGGCATCTAAAATTCTAAGCTATCTTTTGCTATGTTTGACACATTTACATGATCGAAAAGTCATCTTCAAGCCCATCTAGTTGTCCTTTTAGACTGTTTTCTTGGATGATCAAAACCGAGGTTCTCACCGAGAAATCAGAACCCGAAAGGACATCTCCGATTGGTCCCAACTCCGGACATTGCTGCCAGTCATTCATCCCGAATGTCAGAACCGAATTCACCCTTTCCCCTCGTCCCACTATAATGAGCGCGTACTGCCCGTCCAATTCCCTCAAGGTAGAATAGGTCTCGGCAGAATTGGCCATATGCTTCTCCATGTACGCAACTTGTCCACATGCGACATGTCTCTCGTAGAAGCTTGCGAAACACTCATCGTCAAGCCCCATTTCCTCTTCTTGCTCAGAACGGCTGACTGTGTAATTTCCAGGTCTGGCTGCCGCCTCTGAGTTAGCATCTACCAAGAATCTAATGACTGTGAGCTTTACACCTGCATGGCATGCTACACGACCTGCGTAGGCAAGTGCTTCTCTGTCGTCTTTTCCACCAATGAAAATGACTGCCACGCTGACAGAATGATCGTAAGTTCTTGGTAGTTTTTCAATCAGTCCAAGACCTCTGTCTACAAGAATCCCGACGGAGCATGGAGCATTCTTGAGGACCTGTTAAAACCATAGTTTATCATTAACTGATACCATGAGAAGTATGCTAAAACAGATAAGTCTAGAGAAATGAAGAACTTGGAAAATTGAGCAGATATTAACTCCTTTGGAGCCTAGAGAAAGATCATCGTCACAATTATGATCATGGTGCTTGAATTCTTGACTATTTTCTTCTAGAATTTGTAGCTGTTCGAATAATACTCAGCTGTCTGATATAGATTACCTTACGGTTCACATATCTGAAAGCAGAATTTCCGCTATCCAAGGTTCCATCTCCACGTTGAACCTTGTGAAATGGCAAGATGATGAGGGCTACCATTGAGTCCTCTGCCAGAATGCAAATATCCTGGGGCATGCCATTGATAGTCGAGAGTGCAAGCAACCGTTTGAGTGCCATACCATCTCCGCTCTCCCCTACATATGCTTGAACTGCAGCGGTGACTTGAGCTCTCATTTCTTTCACTCCTGTGTGAGTCACAGTCATGGTGTCCACCCCTTCTTCTTTTACCAGTGAGGCTGCTATTTCGTCTGTGAGTTCTATCACGTCTGTTACATACACCACAATCCAGGGTCAGCTGTCCCTCTAGATATCTCAATGAAGTTAATCATAGTACGAACATTTTGAGGCCCATGGAGGCATAGCAATATGCGAAGTTCGCTTGAAGGGTCAAGCAATTGCAGCGACATTCGATGAATAGGTGCCCGTTTCCTTGCACGCTTGATGATTTGCGCCACAACTGATGGTGCATGGACAACCGTGAAAAATATAGCTATTACCATCACAGTGCTGGTCGAAGTAGATGTTGTCCCAGCCTGCATACGATATCAGAAAAGCAAAACGCAACAAGATCAGCATGGTTCAAAAAATATGACCAATTTGATGGTGACGAATCACTCGTTAGTTCTCTGATAAGGAGGAAAAAGAGCATGATGCTAAATTAAACAGTACCATTGATAACTTTAGGAGTAAAATTGCCTCAGAAAATTGAGAAGGAAAAGGAAAGCAAATTTGAGAAAAATAAAATAGAGAGGTCAGAGACTAACTTGTTTTGCAGCAATGGCCAAGTATATGTGAAAATGGCCTTTGGTAGTGAGAAGAAGGCCGAGTGCAATAGATTCTGGCCACTGAAATCCCAACAACTTTCCACAGATGACAGTTCCAGCAACTTTTCCAACTGTTGCTATACCAAAAAGTACAAATAACCTTGCCCATGTCCCGAACTGGCCGGGTTGAAATTCCTTTAACACAGCTTCATAACCCATCCAGAAGAAAAAAATGGGATAGTAAATGGTAGATAACAAGTAGTTGATCTTGCCGATCACCCATTTCGATACCCTCCCCCCCTTTGGTAAGAAGGTTCCTGCCATAAATGCACTCAAGGCAGGATTGTATCCATAAATCGGCGAGCAGGCAATGACCAAGGCCATGAAAGCAAGAGCAAGCACTAGGTGTGAACCTTTCATGGGTTTGCCTTCGGGGTTTTCATTGTTGACCCAGTTCATGAAGATTGGTGAAACAAAGGCTGCAAAAAGCGTCTGGATCACCAATGCAGAACCCATCTCAACGGATGTTCGGACGCGTTCTGAAGTCTGTAAAACTCTCTCTCCAGATTCAACAGGCCAGAAGACATAACCAATTGAGAGGAGAAGAGTGGCTACGAAATCAGCGTGCATTCCTGCAGAAATGACAAGCTGGCCTATGTCTGACTTGCCTATTTTGAGACTCGTTATGAGACGTGTCAGTACAGGGGAGGCGGTGCTAGAGAGGACTGTGGAGAGGGAGAGAGTGAAATCAACCTTGAAACCGCCATCTGTAAACTGCAGAAATGGTGTTATAGCGCAGGCTAGGATGAATGTGGAGAGCATACCACCATAGGCCACTTTAGCATCCTTGGTTGGTTCTTTAAAGAGTATATATGGATCCATTTCTATGCCTAACACAAACATATAGCCGATCATGCCAAAATCAACAATGAAATTCAACGTTTTACTGCCTGAATCCGTTACTAGGTCGCGTATGAACCCTAAGTTTCCGATCAGCAGTCCTATCTGCGTACCATAAGAGATAACAAGAATTTAATCACAATAACAGTGGCAAGTGAGTAGCACCTAAAAGAAAACACCATCCAAGGTAGCGAAAGATGGTACTTTCGTGTTAAAAACGAAAGGTACAGTTTCTTTTCTGCATTCAGATCAACTCTACATTAAACTGCTACTCTCTAATGCAGCATTTAGATTCCAAACAATTAAAGAACATGAGAGCCGCCACAAGGCATACACGATTATGAAATAGGCCTTACTAGAATAAGGAAGGAAGCAAGTTTTCGTTTGATCAAATACTACAACAAAAAAAAAAACGCTTGATCCCATCTGCTATTCACACTCGTATGCACTCACAAGGGCCCTTTGAAAATGCTTCTGCAGACAAGCCGTTTTGCAAGAAACGCTTTTATTAAAAGCACGTGAAATTCTAAAATACTCGTAGGAGTGCATAATGACAAACTGAGAGTCCGAATAACATTTCCCACTATGAAATAAATTGACTGCCAACTTTTGAAATGAAAAGTGAAGAGGAAAACCAAAACAAAATCACGAGAACGAAATAAAAAACGAGGTGAATACATGTCGAGAAAGAGAGAGAGAGAGAGACTTACAACGGTGTCGGAGGTAATACGAGGCTGAGAATACGGCTTTAACAGGAAGTGGGATACGTTGCAGAGAGCATACATTAAGAAGAAACCCAGTGCATATTTTGCTACTTTTCCAAAAAGCTCTTTTAACTTGAGAGAACATGGTCCAACAATTGAAATCTTCTGAGAAGTATGAAACTCTTTCTTGCTGCCCATTTGTTTGCAATTGCAAGAGAATTTTTTGTTTTTGTTTTGTTGGGCTGGAAGTTTGCAATTGAGCATCCATGGCACAGTTAATTCTCTCTCTCTCTCTCTCTGTAGCTTGGCATTTGGCAGGGATGAGTTAGTGGTTCTGATCGATTGCCTATTGCTTTCTTTGAGGAGAAATTGAAGGAGAACGGCTAGGAGAGAGAGACATTTACAATGGTAGGCAGGTATTATTTCATAAATAAAAATTTTGAAAGCCAAAAAAAAAAAAAACAATGGTAGGCAGGCTATTAGATGCAATGCAACTAGATCCAAGGCTTGAAAACATTGTAAAAATATTTGTAGTAGGATCTTGACCATGGACGGCGGCAGCATGTGCCTACTCAAGGCAGTTGCCCCTCAGAAAACTCCTTTCGCGATGAAAAGTTGCTTCAACGACTAAAAATATAAGTTACCCTCTCACATTCTATATTTTTCCTACCTTCTCACCTTTTCTATTCATGTAACTTTTTTCATTAGCGTTTTGAACACCAATTACGCAAAATCATGTAGTTGGACAATAAGTTGATAACATTGTATCGAATTTTCAATTTTTAATTTCGTCAT